GATTTATATATTGTGGTAGGGGGTATCAACATTATAAGGACAATATATGCATCGTTAAATCTTTTACATGCTTAAGAAGAGTATGAAAAATGACTAGTTTTAACATTAATATATGCTTTTCATATAACAGTTTCATCATTTGAAGCAATATAATTTTTCATCTGCTAAAGTTTATTTTAGTATAGATCCAAAGCAATAGGTCTAAGTTAAATTGTATGCAAATGATTGAATGGCAAAGAAGATATTTAATATTTAATCAGACCTTGTTTGTCATAATGCCCAGCAATCTTCCATAATCGGTAATCTCACATTGTTTTTGAATTAATCTCTCTCTAAAACATCTTCCTTCCTTTATCTAAATTGATATAATAAAAAGTGCTAATTATCATTTATTATAATTCCAAAATTCTAAAAGAAGACAGCATACAAGCATCCATAACAACAACAAAAGTTAATGAACAAATGTGTAGTCACCACAGTGTTCAAACTCACTCAAGAAAAGGAGTCCTGATTTTTTTTTTTTTTTTTTTTTTTTTTTTTTTTTGAAATAAGAATAAAATTGGTGAATTTGCTGTCTTAAGAAAATCTATGAACAGATTTTGATCATGTCTTTTTTCCACATTGCTTCATTTCTAAGACTAAGTACGAAACCCATCATTTTCTTAATAAGTCATATCTTGCATTGACCGTTCACGGTAGCTCAGTCGGTAGAGCGTTCGCTCCGTGATTGGGAGGTCGTGAGTTCGAATCTCGGCCGCGACAGACCTAAGTCGATAAAAAATAGGTAGCAACTGTTCCTTCGCCATGCTCTCGGCACTTTGAAGTGAAAGTTGCGGGTCCTTCGGATGAGACCTTAAAAACCGAGGCCCCGTGTCACGGCGGGCGTTGGCACGATAAAGATCCCTCACTGCTCAATGGCCCTGAGTGCCGAGTATAGGTCAAAATTTGAAGCCCTTCACCGGTATATGGTGACGTCTCTACATGAGTGAAAAATTCTCGAATGGGACGTAAAACAATATACAATCAATCAATCAATCATATCTTGCATTGCACAGACACACATCATACGGAATTGTTTATCATTAAGTTTGTCACTTGGTTAGTGAAGTGTAATTTGATAGTTTGTTACTAGTAAGCAAAAAGTAATTATATAATTTATCATAGATATGTCACTTCTAACAATATTATAGTTCCATATTCATAATTGAATGAAAATTTTGACCCCACTGAGTAAAGGCATTAAAGCAACCCCGAGAAAAAAATAATTTTTTATGACGTCACGTACGTTAACACAATACAAATGAATCTCGATGAATAAATGTTAAAAGTATTTTTTATACACACTAAAATACTTTGTTTATATTAAATAATGTAGAGATAAATAGATGTGAAACTTATTTCGTCATAATTACACTATCTGAATGTAGAATGATACCTAGCTTGATCTTGCTGTACTAATTGAGATGACGTGACTGCTGGCTAATTTGACACGCAGTTTCTCTTACTTGGGACGTGGATCAAGCTATTTTCCTATCTTGTAAACATAAGAATGGAAAAAAAGCGTGCTCTGACCGAAGTGGAGACATGTTCTTCAATGAATTAAAAGATATTTTATGGTCAAATTAAGTTGAAAATGTGTAGACCTTCTATAAACTCGTAGTAAGGCACACTTGTATAGGAACGTACTAGAATGACAGGTATAGCCACTCGAAAATCTCAAAAGTTTAACAATATCAGCCTCACTTTGAATTATGAGTTTTTAAACACGTGTAGCTATTATCCCTACTATTTTAAAAAGTGCCGGGAACTAGTTGTTCACTGCTGCTTTATTCCGTAATTTTACATTATTTCAATGTATACTACGTCCATGTAGGAAGTTTATCTAAAGACTGCTAAAGTGTATATAATTACCGCACATAAGGAAGTTGCTCCCAACACTTGTCTTGTTAAGGAATTTGTCTCAAAGAAAACACAATCAATTTCACAGCTAAAAGATATCCGTATATCATTGAATTTTTACGATATTTGTAGACGAACATATTTGTCATCTGAAAAACAGCTAATGTATGTGATTTCGAACTCAGCATATGCAGATAGCAGAATTCCAATTCATCAAATCCCATCCTGTTTAAAAGAATATCAACACTGTATTTATTTACTCGGAATATTTTAGGGTGTATTTCTTATGGGTGGTCTTATCCAAGTTCTTTTATTTTCCCTATAATGATACATTTCTCACAGGGGTTATAAATACTCCAAACTTCGAAGTCATGACTTTTTCATATTTCTTGAAGACGTCGCTGCCTACTAACAGATAATGGGTTTTAGAAATTGATTATGCATCTTAGATATATATTTTAAAATAGTATTAGAAAATTAAAGGACAACATGCGAACTATCTATCCATCCGATTTCAGTTGACCGCAAGTGATAAATGAATTAGAAAGACTACATGAAAAATACGTTTTAGTTTCAGCTGACAAAGCTTTTAACGATACAGTCTTTCTTTGTAAAGCTCATTATTACATGTACAACTACATTTTAGAAGAACTCGGTTTTAATTTCATATCTGGTTATGCAACCTGTACTAACATTTCCATTTCACAAGAATAAATCCTTCAAAAAAACCTTTCAGATTTAAATATTTTTAACATTCGAATCAGTTGAATTGAGTTTAATTTACTGTACCTATACTGTCTTCCAAACCTTCATAAAAATCCTAACAAAGATATATTGACGGGTCCAAAAAATGTTCAGCCAACCCTTATCCTTACTCCTCACCAAAATATTACCTGCTGTAATGGAGAAAGTTCAGACAAGGTTCTACAACATATTCAAGAAGTGATGTTTATCAAAGGTGGATTTTAAATAGCTCCCAAGAATTTGTGGAAAATTTAAAATCTGAAAACTTTCAAACTTCAATACCATCAAAACATGTAACTTTTTCTATTTTTAATCAACCATTTCTCGCCATAAATTTATAAGAGCAGGCTTTTTGACATCATGGACAACTGCATCCTCAATAAAAATGGAACTAGTAAATATACTTACCTTGTCATTGGGCTTTTGCAAAAAGTATTTTGTTTAAAGTTACTCCGAATCCACGTACAAGTACTCTGAAGTTGAAATTTAAAGATGCTGGTGTTCCTCATTGACAATATTTTTGTAGTGTTTTGAGATCATGATCAAGTCTTCAAACAATCTTTTGGAATTCAGAGAGATACTCACTGTACTCTTTTATTTTCCTAACAGTTATTTTTTATATTCCTATGTAGCAGAATTTATTCAAAAATCTTCTATACGAGAAGACGAAAACTTTTGCTGTGGCCTTCAATTCGATATTTAGATATATAGAACGAATTTTTATCAATTAGCAATTGTTATTCATTCATATGTCAACTCAATATACCTGTAGAACTCGTAATAGAAAAAAAACTATAAATTCTGCCACATTTGTTTCATATTCGAATGTTTTACCGGATATAGACGATAATAACCATCTCACAATTAAACTGTATGAATGAAAAATATGGAGATAACGAACAGTATTCAAGCTCAAAAGTCCATTCAAACAATACAAATCAAGAGCAGAGCAAACAAGGACCTCTCAAACATCAGAGATGAGATCAGGTTTCATGGAGGAGTGAACATCTCCTGGCGACCGGTCACACCCGCTGTCTGCTGCTCTTCATGATCTGGAAATAACGGGAAAATCCGTTGGCAATTTGATGTATAAATAATGGCCTAACAATAAGTATGGAAAACGTCAAACAGCATTTGACTTGTATTTGCTGACAAGGTCATTGTATCGACCATAGAACTTACGAAATGATGACTTTATACGAAACTGATAATATTCTTGTTTCATCAACTTGTTTGTCAATAACTTACTTTAGAAATTGTTCATACGTAGAGTATGCTCTTGTGTATCGAATCAACTGAGAGATATAAACCCCATATGCAGGTGATGAAGTTATATTGCTGCATAAGTAAGGGAAGTATGACAAAGGAGATGACTTCAGCTTAATTTTCTTTTGTTAACTCTCCGTATTTATGTAGTGATATTCCGCTATCACCTGCATACGATTTTAATGCCTCCCAAATAATTCCATACGCACGAGCATGTTCAGAGTATGATAATTTTTAAACCAAAACTGCTGAAAAATGAGTTGATGTTAAAAAGATTTCAACAACCCTATTGAAAGACGGCTTTTCTCAAATTCAACATTGTCTATTAATACAAGCTATAGGTGACATACCGATTGTAATTGTTTTATATTAAATTAAACTATGAAGTACTCCATAAACCTGATCAATATATTGAGCTCATCTCGGTTGTGACCGGTTGACAGGGAATGTTTACTTTTTCTAGGCACCTAATCACACCGCAGGTTTTCAAGGGATCTGTGTTTTTGCCCTGTTAAAAATTGTTTCAGTGAACTGGATTAAAGATTAGTCACTGTTCGTTTACATTATAAAAGATCTTCTCTTCGTAAATAAATTTAATAGCTTGAAAGGATCTTACCAAATGTATTCTAGCAATTCCTAGAGCATGCAGAGTTTTGGTAATCATCTAGTGCATTAATTGTCCCGTGATATACATTTATTACCATTTTATGTAGTTTGAACAATGTTAAAACGCACCCCTGTTTGTTTTTTTTTTTTTGTTTTTTTTTTTACTTATTATTAAGATCTCAGTACAATAGGAAATGTAAACATGTACTTCATTTCCTTCAGAAAACCGTTTGAGTATAAACTGCTAACCGGAGCCTACACGATACATGACAATTTCGATAACAGTAAGTTTATGTTAGATAATTCATCTAGTTATAAGTATATTCTAAATATCAAATCTTTTTTTTTTAATTATTTTTTATTATTATTCAACAATTGTAATATATATGAAACTAACGTACAAGCTCCGATATTTTACACTGAAATAAGACTGCAACAATATATGTACTTGTTGTATTTGTAAAGCATAAACAGAAAAGTCTAAAATGGATAAACCGGATACTTCTAAAGCATTGTGTGAGTACAAAGCTAGATTTATCACAGAGGGGGAACGGATGGCGAAAGATATCCTACCAGCAAAGTTTGTTGAACTGGATAATATTTACCACGAAATAAAAAATTTAAAGCTGTCCAAGACAAATACTGAAAGGAAAGAATTGAACATTGAAAGAGTTTTAATCAACAGTCTGGGAAACAATTCTACGAGAAGCAACTTCTCCTCACGATTGCATGCATCAGCAATCAATGAAAATGCTATAACCTCTAACCAGATTCTTTTGGAAGTAATCGAGAAACTTAAACCCCATATTGATGATCTGGTAGGTAGTTCGTGTGAAATAAAGATGTGGATTACTCTCCTGATTCCACGAATTCAAGACGGAAATAATTTTGGCGTGTCTGTTCAAGAGGCGGTGATGGAAGAAGCCTCTACTATTGAAATGAAAGCAAAGTCCCTCAAAGAATCTGGAACAGATTATTTTTTCTTCAGAGCAAAGATGATTTCTAAAATTATAAAATATCCAGAAATCACTGATTACAAAATGGCTGTGATGGAGTTTGATTCCAATGAATTGCAAAATCAGATAAACCTTTGTCGAGATATGAGAAATATGTATGCCAAACTTCACGATCTTGTGATTAAAAATTTACATAAAATACAGAATCCCCGATCAGATCATGCAGGGGATTTGTACTGAATAGCAATGCCAACAATTCAATACACTTTACCCCCTTCATATGTCTTTACAGAAAACAGTCCTCTCTTTTCTCAATCAAATGGAATTTTTTCTATAATCATAACAATGTTTTAAGATAGAATTTGAAGAAAATAGAATGAAAGTAAAGAAAATTTTGTATAGTAGATTTAGAGAAAAATGTTTTAAGACAGATGATAAAAACAAGGAAAAAAATGGATATACGAGGGGTGATCAAAAAGTTCGCGAACTAATTGAATTACTTCCATAAAAGAAATAAAATTAGGTTTCAGTGTTCATTATTTTTTAAAGTAGTCCTCTCCGATTTTAATGCACATCTACCACCGTTCTGCTCATACGCGAATCACGTGATCCAGGCGGTCACGTAACATGCTCTGTAGCGTTCTGTTCACAGAAGCTGAAATATTTTCCGAGTCTTATATTTCTTACTATGCAAGTTATTTTTTATAACAAGAACAGTCCATTTGTCAAAAATAACCAAATCTCGGCAATAGGATGGGTGGATAAGGATATCCTTCCCCAGAATGAGCATGGTGACCATCACAGCCCGAGTACTCTGTCTAGGAAGCGTCGTTTATCCAATGTGGATAAAGTATGGGCGCCTTCTATTTTATCATATCTGATATGTTTAAAGTCTAAAGTAAACGATAATTTAGGGATTCAATGATTATATTATTGTTAGGATATTCAACTATTTTTTTTACTGTAACTTGGCGATCTTTCATAACAAATTAGTCAACTAGAGACAAATCTCTTTCCCCGCTTGCTTTCACTGGGCAACAGAACAACTTCATTTTTAATCATCTCTCTTTCTTCACCAAAACAATCAATCCAATTAATGATTAAACTTCTGGCAAGTCTTTTGACTTCATTAACGTTGTACAAATTATTATATGCTACTACAAAGGAATTTCCAAGATACACGTTAAATTTTACAGCCCTTCGTTGCTCGAGTGCGACTGATTCAACCATCTTTTGTCATAAGTCACTCACATATTGACGTCATTTTCACATTGTGACGTCACAAACATGGAGCAAAACATAACATGACACCTACTATTTATAGAACATACAGGGTGTTTCAGAAAACTTGTCCCGACTTTGCAGATTCAATATAAAGTTAGACAGTATTAATGTAAGAAAATTTTTGCAAAAATGAAAACCACATAGCCAAACAATTTTATCAATATGAAAGATGGAGTGATGCTGAATCAATTATTTTTTTTAAAAGGCATTTTTAAAGTTTGAACTTCAGCAGCAGTTTTCAAAATAACTTCATTTTTTATGTGTTCAAAAAAGCCACGTTTTTAAGTCAGCATCCTCATTTTGTCTCTGTAGTCCTGTATGGCTTATATTTTGACATCATTTAGAAGTCTGTTTCCTAGAAAGATGGTTTTCATATGAGTACTTCTTTTTTTCAAAATATTATACACTAGTATTGGTGATTTGGAGATTTCCTTTTGTGTTGATTAGTTCAAAACATCCATAGATCCATTTTTGGAGGAAAAAAACCCTGACAACCTGATTTTTGAAGATGTAATCAAACTTCAATGGAAAAAATATAATGAAATTATTTTTATATTGTTTATATCACAATTATATTGCCGGAAAATGTGCTATAAAATACAGTTATAATTTTGTAAATATTTTATTATTGTGCAAAAATGTAGACATCAAAAGTCGGGACATGTTTGTTGAAACACCCTATGTATGACTATATGTGTGCCAAATTTCATTCTGATCTGAATCATGGTTTTTGTAAATATAGAGATAGTTCGCGAACTTTTTGATCACCCCTCGTATCTTTGGACCTATTTTGGTTGTAAACTATGCAAATGATAAATTTCTAAAATATTAAAAACATGTCAACTTTCTATGATGTTTAAAATGTTACCTTTCTGCAGCCATCCTTATTATTCTATACAATTTTTTTATCACTTATAATCCCATTATTGTTATACTTTGAATAAAAAATCAAAATTAAATTTATTCATTGTACATTTATAAATGTGACTTAAGTTGTTATTTTCAAGATTTTTGATAAAAGATCATTTTATAATCTGTTCTTAAGAAGAAGAATACGGGCAAATTATTTATCTTAGATTTTCTGGATTCACATTTTGATCTGTACAATTAAAGTTTTTAAACTTATTTCTTTTTTTAAAAGATTCACAAGTAATATATAGGTATACTATACATGAAGCCGTATAAAGAAGTAAATACCTTTCCTTACTTAAATTTTTAAATCTCTCATGATTAAAACGTTCAACAGATTTAAACTTATTTTTCCTGTATACATGCACATGTGGAAATATCAATGAAAGGTTATTTAAAATATGAAAATGTAAAAGTAAATAATATATCAATGTTGCTTTTAAAAATGCAATAAAATCCAATTTACTCTTACAATCACATGGCTTTCCAAATTACCAATAAAAAGGAGAAAATAAAATAGATATTTTTTCAAAAAAACGTTCTAATATTTCATATTATAGATGCTGAATTATTTTTTGCATGTAGTTAGCTTGATATTGATAGTAAGTTTAAAGCCTATAATTTGCAATATAAGATATTGACAAACACTTTGTGTTGTTGTAATGAATACAGTTTATTTTTTATCTCTTCACCCCCCCCCTTTTTTTTTTTTTTTTTTTTTTTTTTTTTTGCTGATAAAAGCAAACACTTAAGTATTAAGGGGATCTGATTTTCTGACAATACACATTGTATTTTTCCATTTCAAAATACTCTAACTTTATATTGTTTCGCTAATGCAAATGAAGTACACCCATATTGGAGGGTGACCTGGCCCTCAATACAAGTTGCAATGGGATTCAATGGACTCTACTTTTATACAAATTCCAATTGCGACAAGGGTCATATATACAAATGTAAAAAAAAAAATTGTATGAAATATAGAAATCTAGGAATTAATTACACAGGAATAATGCCAGATCTTTGATTTATTTATTTTTCTTTTGTCAATGCTTATTTCTTTTTGATTTGAATATATAAAATAGCTACATCATTTACAACACCCATCACTGCTTATTAAGTTAAAGCTTTTTACAGGCGATTGGGAATTATTAATGATATAAATTTTCGTGTTTAAAACCTGTGTATGAAATGATGGCAGTGTAAAAGATCCTCTGCAAACGATTTCAGAAATACAATGTGTGAAGTAAAGTTAAAATTATCGAACCTTTCATTTATATATTATATTATATGTATCATACTTATATAAATGAATAAATAAATAAAATAAAATGAATTTTGTGGCCCTAAACTTAAACCTAGAATTTCAACAAGTTTAATCTACTGAGCACTAATGCTCGATATCAAATTATAGAAGTTTGTTAATTAAAATAGAGTTGTTGTGCAGCCTTCATTGTCTTATTCATTCAAATCCTGACTATATAATAAAACAATTATGGACTCTTTCGGTGGTGAATATGGTTTGTTATTCACCAGAAAAATATCAATATTGACCTCAGCTTCGCCTCTGTCAATATTGATATTTTTCTGGGGAATAAAAAACCATATTCACCATCGAGAGAATCCATAATTGTATAGTATTCAATCTCAAAAGTCCAATGAAACGATACAAATTTGGAGCAGAGCAAGCACGGACCTCAAAATTTACTGGTGGGATCAGATGCTATGGAGGAGTAAGCATCCCCTGCCGACTGGTCACACCCGATATGTGCTCCTTGTCAGGACCGGGGGAAAAAACCAGAAATATCCGTAGACAGTTCAGTGTATAAATAATGGCCTCACAATTACTATGAAAAACTTCAGTCAGCATTCAATTTAATGATAAATTGCATTTGCTGACAAAGTCATTATAACTACCATAGAATTCCAAAATATTGACTTATATGGAAAAATAGACTGTCGATATCCCTGTTTAATCAACTTGTTTGTCATAAGCTTACCTTGCTTTAGGAATTGTTCGTACGTAGATAATGCTCTTGCGTATCGAACCTACTGGAAGACTTAAACTCCATGTATGCTAATATTTTAATCATTTGTTACTTAATTAGAGTCATCAGGGGCCAGCATGATATATCTTTGACTCTTTCGTATCTCCTAAAGGGGAAATAGTTTGAAAAGTACTAATCTGATATAGAAATATTTTTTAAGTTCGTATTTACTTTGTCAGAACGAGGAATTTTAAAATCTTCAAAAAAAAAAAAAAAATATTGAAATACAAAACAAACACCTTAAAATAAAATCAGCAGACTCCGTTGCAAAACGAACGTTCGCCTATGCAAAACCAATAATCATTTACTGAATTGACGCAAGACGGCGCAAAAAAGATGAATCCGGTCCACAATTAAAAGGTGAAGGTCAACAGGCGGAAATTCACATGCATTAATTTAGCTAGAATGGAAGTTAAATCTAAAACGTTTACTGTGATATACATTAAGGTGGATTTCATCTACAATGTATGCTTAGAAACGTGTCTGGAAATGGAAGGAATTTTCTTATGTTTAATTTTTTTAAGCTGGCTTAGTGCTATTCTGAGGACTTGACGCCAGAGGCTATAATTAATAAGAAGGGATCCGCCTTTGAACAATTGTTTTTGAATATGAATATTTAGCTGACATATGACTCTATCATGTGCCTTTTTCAAAAATTACAAGCTAAGTAAAACACATGTGTTTCACAATTTATTAGTCCATATATTTATTAATAATTATTAGTGGTCCGGGTCCTTCAGATGGCGCAAGAGTCTGTGAATTATGGAAAGCCATATATGTTTATGCATAATTTGTTTTTTTAAGGCTCCGGTCAGATAGTATGAGAGCCCCACCTCCATTTTTCCCAAAAATATTGTTTCACTATATATATCTAGTATATGAAAATGATCATTGAAAGGCCGATTGCCCTCCCCCCTTGTGGTTTATGTTTAAGTATTTTTTGAAAAAAAGATCTGGTTAAAAGAGTTTGAATCAACCCCCCCCCCCCTCCGTTACAAATAGGATTTTCGAGTTGGAAATCCTCTTCTTTTGCTTGCCAAAGACATTAAAAGTAAGTAGTCTTTTTTCTGTTGCCTTCCCACCCCTTTGAAAAACGATATTACAATTGTACGTCCCTAGTAGATATTGAGATATTTCTATAAAATATGGAGATAACGAACAGTAGTCCATTTAGACACTAAAAATCGGGAGCAGAGCATATTCGGACCTCCAAAACCATCAGAGGCGGAATCAGGTGCCATGGAGGAGTGAGCGTCCCCTGCCGACCGGTCACACCTGCCGTGTGCTCCTTGTCATGATGGGGAAAAACGGAAAATTCGTAGACAATTCAGTGTGTAAATAATTGCTTAACAATACGCATGAAAAACGGCAGTCAGTATTGACTTAATGATAGGTTGTATTTACGTGTACTGACAAGGTCATCGACCATAAAACGCGCCAAATAATGACTTCAAACGAGACTGATGATATCATTGTTTTAACAACTTGTTTGTCAATAGCTTGCCTCGTTTTAGAAATTGTTCGTACATAGATCATGCTCTTGCGTATCGAATCAACTGGGAGACAAAAACCCCATATGCAGGTGATAAGAGAAGTACGATTGAAAAAAAATTGAAGACATCACGATGTTGTTAGTTTACCATTAATTTTTTTTCTAGTAAAATATTTACGAAATGAATTTAATAGCTACCCAATTTATACGGTATAAAGTGGGTTGGGGCAGTTTACGCTTTTTAATCCGCGTAGCTATTAACTTCATTCCTTATGATTTAATTTTCATTCATTTAGTGTAAGAAAGAAGACGATTGCCCTTAAAAAAATGACTTCATATTGTACAAAATTTAAATGTAAGGTCAGACGGATCGATTCGTTTTTGACGTAAGTCATTGTGACGTAGGCAACCCAATTTATACGATATAAAGTAAATTTTTATCCAATCAAATACCGCGTTATAACCAGAATTAAATTATTACTTTTTCTAATTGAAGATAAGTACTTTACCTAATTAGGAAACATACTGAACTTTCTAATAATACAAAAAAGTATTAACACCTAACTCCAAGGATACAGCAGGTTGGGAACATTCGCTCATTCTTTATCTATATTATACTCACCTCTTTTCCCGTTAAGTGTGATTAATTTGGACTATAATTTTCATAAAATCTATATCTAAAACACAATAGAAAGGGAGATACAAATCATTTATCATATGTAGATATAATTAAAATATTACAGTTTTAGCCAGAACCAAATTATTAACATACTCCACCTTTGCTTTTCAAGGCTCTTGTTTTCTTCAATCAGAAAAAAAGAAAATTAACCTCAACTCGAAAATCCTATTTCGGGGGGGGGGGGGGGGGAGTATGGGTGAGGGGGCTCTTTTTCAAACTTTTCGGTCAAACTTTTTTTAAAGGCACTAATTTGCCAGAGTTCGACCAATTACTGCAAAAAATGTGCAGGGACCAAGCAGCCAATAAATGATTTTTTTACATTAAACTACAGCTTGCAATTGACTATTCTCCCATAAAGTGGGGTGGGTGCGCCTCCCCACTAGTACTACCGTCCTGTTTGAAAAGGCACTATAGTGAAACTTGGAAAGGCGTTATTTTATGTTGATAATTATATAAATGATATCAAAATATCAAAGTCATCTTTATTCATGCAATAAAAATATTCTCTATACTCCTGCACATCTCGCAGACAACTGTCTGCATTCATGGGTATATTTAAAAGAAGTTAACATTCGTGAAATCAAGGATTTAGACAGATGCGCCCTAAATTGGGTCTTTGCTGGTCATATATATTGAAAATTCTTTTCAAATATGAAAATCTTTTTTTAGCTCTTGGAAAAAAAAGTAGGCAAAATATTTGCATGGGTATAATGAGCAATTAGCCTTCAACCAAAATTGTGAAATCCATGACCATGGATAGAGCTACATGTGTAGGTGTCTGGCATCAGAAAATGGTTTAACGTTGAAAATATACATGTATAACACATTTAAAAATCCTTTTTCCTGGATATTAAGCTAGCTACAATCTGTTTAAAGATTTTTTTTTTTGAAAAATTAGCACTTTCATAATAAATTATGTAATTCATGCCCCAAGGGTCAGCATTTCAGCCCCCGGTGTGGGCTAAGTTTGTTCTGTATTGAAAAAAAAAGAGTAATATCGTCGTTTGAAAGGTGTAATAACGCCTTTATGAAAGGCGTAATGTCTTTTGATAGACGTGATAATGCCTTTTCCTTTTCAATTAAGAATTTTAAACTTTTATCGGGATGCAAATACGGGTTGGTCATGTGACCAAATGACCAAATCCCATAAAACCCTTCGGGCTTTATGGTAGATTTGATCGCATGCCAATCCGTATTAATTTTACTAAATCAGTCTCAAATATAAATATAAAGTATCATTTTAAAATTTTATCGGGATGATAGGTACTAAAGTTTTTAAACCCATAAAATGATTTTTTTTTCAAACCTCAACGCACAGGCACTTGTTTCGGTAATAAATTTTTAACCCATAGTATAATACTATGGGTTAAAAATTTATTACCGAAACAAGTGCCTGTGCCTCAACGGTACAAATTGAAAGTGTTGAACTCGTCAACCACTAATGACGTCACAGAGAAATTACGTCAATCGTTTATGACTGAACAATGAATTTATATAAAGACCCGTGACGCACCTATTTTTATACAGAATTAAATACGCATTGCTTAGATAGTGTCATATAAGGGAAAACATTTTCAAATGTAAATTTAAGGCGTTATGACGTCTTTTCAAAGGGCGTCATGACACCTTTTTCGCGTTATTACGCCTTATCGGAAAGCATTTAATATATACACCATTTTAATATTTTTTTTTCTCCTTAGATTGATCCTAATAGGTTTTCGTACTTTTAAATAACTTATCACGAATGAAAATGATTATTACAAGTTTTTCAGATAACATTGAAAATAAGAAAAAGTTGATTTATCATGAGGAAATAACATTATATCCTAGTCTAACCCCCCCCCCCCCCCCCATGTCTATCAGGTTAATATGTGAACTTTTTTATTTGCGTTTTATTAATTGTATTCTTATCATCATAACTGATGTTAATTTATTAATTGTCAGACTATCATTTAGAAATTTCACTTTTTATTTTGTTACTTATACCTTTACTAAATTATATGCCTTCTTGGCCTAAAATTGGAAATTACATGTACTTAATTCCGGTGTTTAGTATATCCCTTTTGATCAGGATCAAATGGGTGCTTGCGTGTTTACAAAACAAATCAGACGAAATCCGTTTCATATAGTAAATGGTAGACAGGTAAGTGCGCAACAAATTGACATTTTTGAGAAGAGAATATTTGTTAGAAAACATCCTAGCATATGTGTTAAAACACATAAACTATGATTCTTCTTTAAATAGAATATTCTCATTTGTTAATTTATTTATATTTCATGCTGATGTTTTTCTTCAAAGTTCATGTATATCAGCTGTATATGACATAAACGAAATTTTTCAGTCAATAAAATGGCATGTTACAACCAGAATTACTGCATTATAGAAGTAGAATTTTACAACCTATATATTTTAATATGACTTTAAACACTCATCTATTCTAATATTTTATAGAAAGCCAAAACATCTTTGAGGAATGACAGAATTTAATAATTGTGTGATCAACACAACTAACAGCCAAGGGAAGAGTTGTTTTGAAGCATTTAATACGAACTTTCTGAAATATCTGAAAGCTTATGAATGCAGAAGATAAAGGTTTAAGAAAGGACTAGTTTTGGACAAAAACTTTATCAAAAATATTTTCATCAATTTCCGGTGATACTTAAGCATGAGTAATTGTCATATAGCCCTCTTGGAGGCAGTTCACATGGGTGACAGCAGTCGTGTTGTGAACTTACTACATGAAGGATGTGAACAAGCAGTGATTGATTCAGCACTTTGTTGGGCAAGTCGATATGGAAATATAGAAATCTTGAGGCACCTGCTGAGGACAGGAGGGGACCCCAATGCCAGGGTGTGGGGAGGGTTCACTCCTCTACTATGGGCTGTAATGTACTCCTCAAATGCAGATGTAATTCAAATTCTCCTGCAGGCAGAGAGTAATGTTGACCACTCCTCATCCAGATATCGTCAGACTGCACTACATGCTGCAGTAATAAGAGGAAATGAGAAGTTTGCTAGCTTGCTCTTGGAAGCTGGGGCTAATCCTGATGTTCAAGACAGAATGTTCAAGACCCCCCTTCTCCACGCCGTCCAAAAGTATCAACCATCTTGTGTAGCACTGCTTATAAAATATAATTGTAATGTAGACTTATCAGGCTGGGTAACAGGTCTTAGTACTACACCACTGACTCTTGCGCTGATACAAGGAGATTTAGAGATAACAAAAATGCTGTTACTGGCAGGGGCCAAATTCAACAACCCAGCTGTTTATCACTCGTACACTATTGCACAGTACTACAAGACTGTGGAGGACAACCTTGATATAGAGGTCCGACCTGTGTATCTACAACAGCAGTGCCGTGTCTGTATAAGACAACTCCTCAAACCACACTTCCTGCAGAAACTAAGGGAGCTTACTCTTCCTCGTCCATTAAAAGGCTTCTTAGAAATATCAGAACTTGACAGTGTTAACGAATCCATGGCTTAATCCTTCATGTTTGTTTCAAATAATGCATTCATTATGAAACTATGAAATGATTTACATGTTAATTGTCAACATTACTTACAATTTAAAGAAAGTTTAAAGAGACTCAATTTTGTTGTAGTATAGTGGCCACATTGAAGTTACTGTAGCAATTAACCACATGTATATGATAAAAAATACAGACAAACTTCATGGATATACAAATTATTATCATTTTCACTGTAAATCAGAATTTAAAGTTATCTGCATAATATGTCATGCAATAAAATTATATTGCAATGTATTTTAAAGGTCAACCGTGTCACTCAGGAGATTTAATGCCATCTGTTTTTATCTGTCATCGTTAGCACACTTCCATATAGGTACTCAACTCATCTTGAAGATGTAATCTACATTTTTGAAGGTACCTGAAGCACTCTCCTAGAAAAGGGAACAAATTTATGATACTGTACTGGTTTGCAATTTTATAGAACACTGAGTCTAACAAAAACAGTTTCCCCAAACTAATTGGCATACCTTGAGCAAGCAAAATGCCAAATTTTACTCCTATATATGAATAAATCTCAAGACATCACAATGATTCAAAACCCATACCTGTGTTAGCACTAGCAGAGCTTGCAAGATAAGTATACTTAAGAACGTTTGTGAATCATGAATGTATTTAAGCTGACATGTTTTGTAATTTACTTTAAGTACTCTTGCCTTGATGAAATAGTGTTTTTTACTTTGATCACAAAGTAGCATATATTGATTGTAAAGAGCTTGTTATTGAAAGAACAGCTACAAGCCTGAAGGGTGGTGGCTAAAATTCTTACTTGACATTGTCTCTACTCTGCAATAAAAAGCATAATCAACCATAAAAAGAGCAAAGTATTCATTATACATGTAATTGTTTTATTTGTGGTTTCAAACAAAACTGTAAATGTGACATTTAAAACCTATCACAGATTCTGGTATATTGTATATTACAAACACTCCATATACAAAGTCCTCACTCCTGAAAGTATACAAACAGTACATAAAATGGCCGTAATTTAACGTACACAGCCATTTACTGTGACCACAAGAGTTCTCCTTCCTGAAAGTAAAGAGAAAATATTTATAAAACAGGTTTTAGGATAGATTTACTGGTGAACTTGATTATCAATTGCAGCTATTAAATATTTACATGAAAATATGAAATGTCGATAAGACTGCTTTCTAAAACACTTTTATTTTTACACTCCCATTCACATATGAATGTGCAAAATTGTAGCAATAAGCATGCAATTGATATATTTTTTTACAAGACAAGGTTTAGTTTCCAGAAAAAAAAGGATTATGTACAAAATGAATTATGTACAAATTCAAATAATTAAAAAAAAAAAAAGAATCTGTCATTTGTTTAAAAAAAAAATAGTTCTAGGATTACTTCCCCTGAAATCTGTTTTCAGAAATGCCAACATTTTAAAAATACATGCAGATATAAGAAAGTTTAGGGGAAATGTGTTAAAAACTTACCAGCAGAATTCCGATGTTCACATAGCCAGAGGCCTTGCCAGGTACCCAGATTAAACTTGCCATCAGTGATGGGAATACTAACACCTGTACCTATAAATGCTGCCTTCACATGGGCTGGCTAAATAAAAAGTAAAATTTAGGAGATGAGTCAAATGAATGGGAGAAATATTACTCAATAAAAAATTTTTTCTTGTGAATATTTGATATTAATTATATGAAAGCATGTTTTTAAATTTTGATAGCTAGTGCACTGTAAAACATGCAAGAAACTATTAAAAATACTGTCTGATTTTGTTTCCATCAGTTTTAAACAAGAGTGATTTTTCATTTTGAGCTGTGAACTTAAAGTATGACCCTGATCTGACACCATACAAAATTTGATAATATTCAGCATTTATTGATGTTTTTGTTGCTTTTAAACTGTTAATAGCTAACTGCAATGTATTTGCTGTTAATGTATTAATGTACACAAAGGTACATGTATTAAATTGGTCAGATATTGTAATCAACAGGTAAAGATATAATTAATAAAAGAGTATTGATTAACATACCATATCATCTGGACCTTCACAACTATGTTTAAAAGGTGTACTCTGAAAGAAATTGATAGTACATGTAACTAATTGATATTGGTAGTGACTTATTGATATTGATTAGTGACTTATTGATATAGATAGTAACTTATTGATATTGATAGTGACTTATTGGTAGTGACTTATTGATATTGATAGTGACTTATTGATATTGATAGTGACTTATTGATATTGATAGTGACTTATTGATATTGATTAGTGACTTATTGATATTGATAGTGACTTATTGATATTGATTAGTGACTTATTGATATAGATAGTAACTTATTGATATTGATAGTGACTTATTGGTAGTGACTTATTGATATTGATAGTGACTTATTGATATTGATAGTGACTTATTGATATTGATAGTGACTTATTGATATTGATTAGTGACTTATTGATATTGATAGTGACTTATTGATATTGATTAGTGACTTATTGATATAGATAGTAACTTATTGATATTGATAGTGACTTATTGGTAGTAACTTATTGATATAGATAGTAACTTATTGATATTGATTAGTGACTTATTGATATAGATAGTAACTTATTGATATTGATAGTGACTTATTGATATTGATTAGTGACTTATTGATATTGATTAGTGACTTATTGATATTGATTAGTGACTTATTGATATAGATAGTAACTTATTGATATTGATTAGTGACTTATTGATATTGATAGTGACTTACTGATATTGATTAGTGACTTATTGATATAGATAGTAACTTATTGATATTGATAGTGACTTATTGGTAGTAACTTATTGATATAGATAGTAACTTATTGATATTGATAGTGACTTAATGATATTGATAGTGACTTATTGATATAGATAGTAACTTATTGATAGTAACTTATTGATATTGATAGTAACTTATTGATAGTGACTTATGTCAATCATATAAGACAATATCTTTGCTATACTATAAATACAAGAGGCCCATGTTCTTCATTAGCAGATTCTTTTTCCTACACATTCTTATGTAAAACTTTGATCACATGTTATGGCCCCAACTTACCCCAGAGGGTATAATGATATGAAAAAACTTTAATGTACACTACATGACGATGCTTCCATATAAATATGACTATAATCATATATTTGCTGTTCTTCAGAAGAAGACTTTTAAAAATTTTCCCTATGTATAACTTTGATTGCCCATTGTGGCCCTGCCCTACTCCTGGAGGTCATGATTTGGACATATTTGAATCTACAGGAAATATGCAGATGCTTCAAATAAATATGACTAATCATGGTTTTGCTGTTCTTGGAAAAAAGATTTTTAAAAACTTCTATGATATAATTTGATATGTTAAACTTTGATCCCCAATTTCTGCATCTCCCTACACCCGTTTGATCAAATATGAATGTACACTACCTGAGGATGCTTCTGTATTACATGTAAATGACTAATAATGGCTTTATTATGTTATTGAGAAGATTTTCTCAAGATTTTTCTTATATATTCCCATGTAAAACTTGGATTCCCTGTTGTGGCCCCGTCATACCCCCCTGACATGATTTGTGCAAACTTCAATCTACACTATATGTCAGGTTGCTTCTACATATAAATGTTTCTTATAATGGCTTTGCTGTTCTTGAGGAGAAGACTTTCAATGATTTTTTTTCTCTACATGTTCCTAATATGTAGAACATTGACCCCTATTGTGGCCCCCCTTAAACCCCTGGGGTCATGATTTGAACAAACTCCAATCTACAATTTCTGAGAATGCTTCTGTATTAATATGACTAATAATGGCCTAGCTGATCTTGAGAAGAAGTTTTTTTAAAATATATTTCCTAGATACTTTGACACCTCCTGTTGGGCCACTACCCTACCCCAGGGGGTCTTGATTTGAATAAACTCCAATCTACACTACACGAGGATGCTTCTGTTTTAATATGACTAATAAAGGCTTAGCTGTTCTTGAGGAGAACATTTTTTTAAAGGATAATGTCCTATATATCCCTATGTAAAACTTTGACCCCTTGTTATGGCCCAACCCCAGGGGTCATGATTTAAAAAAAAACTTCAATCTACACTACCCGACAGTGCTTCTGTATCAAAATGACTAATAATGGCTTTAGCTGTTCTTGAGAAGAAGATTTTAAAAGATATTTCCTATATATTCCTATGTAAAACTTACAGCCCCAGTTGTGGCACTACCGTTGGGGTTCATGATCTGAATAAATTTTAATCTAAAAGTGCCAAACTGATTTTTTTCATTCATTAATTTGTCACTTAAACCTAAAGTACACATGCCAAACTCATTTTTTGTATTCATTTTTAACAGGAAAGGTAATGGACCAGGAATCGAACCTGGGAACCCTGCATTACTATAAACTTAGTCAGGTGCTCTACCGAGCTACCCAGGCCAACATCCACGGCCCAAACCATTACTTATTATTATCAATGAAAGAAAATCCATACCTCTGGAATCAATCTGTTCATCATCATCTCCATGTCAACTCTATTAAAACATAAAATAAATATTAATGACAGAAAAAGAGGAAGTGTTTTACAATTAAAAAAGATCTGTCCACATTATCTAAGATAATTTATTATTTATGTATTTTCTCTTACCTTACATCAGGATCCCAGTTCTACATAAAAAAAAAAATAAATTAAATTTACTGAAAAATAATTACAAAATCAGATTTCTTTTTTTAATTAAATGGGGTTAATTAGCATGAAATGTGTGTTTTTGTGGGACAAGAGGAGCTAGGGGAGAGAGAACTAATCGACATGATTTTGAACGTTTTGCAAACACTTAATATACCAGATCTTTGTTTTCATTATTCTTCAGACAACTATGGTTTTTATTTATATTCTGATATAACATGTATGATTTCTCATGTTTGCCCCTTTATCAAGTGGATTTTGCCCATTTTTGGTCTTTTGACAAAATTTTCTGATTCCACCCTTTGTATTTAATATGTAAAGAAATACATGTAAAAATTGAGAAAACTAAGGTAGGAGTATTAATTATTGAATTCACGAACTATATAAAAGATTCCATGTGAAATGCAATTTTAATTTATTTTACGGCAGTGTTTTTTTTATTGACATTATGCCACTTAAGGCAGTCAAGGGGAAAGCAGGAAGAGGTATAAATTTATATCCTTCTTATGGCGAGAAATTTTAAGAAAGTTCCTCTGAAGGGGATGAGGTAAGGAAAGATCTGATTAAAAAATATGAAGCAGTGAATTGATACAATATACTCTAGCTGCATGAGTGCATCAAGAAAAAGTAAGATGTGCTTTAAAAAAAAGCCTTAATTTTGATTCTCCATGGCCTAAAGGCTATGGTGCAAGGGTTTCCATGCCTCAAAAATATGCAAGTTGGACTTTGTCTGTGTTAAGGAGCAATGTCTCTCTCTGTTGGACTTTGTGTGTGTGTATGTGTGTGTTTAAGTGGTAATGTCTTAAATTTCTCTCTTGGTTCTTTTTTGTTTGTTTAGGGGGCAGTATCTTTTTTCTGTTGGACTTTTGTGTGTGTGTGTTTAGGGATATAGACAGAATAAAGGCAGAATTATGTAATTCTAACTACTGTATGATAGAATACAACTTCCTCTAACAATCATTTCAAACAAGAGGGCCATGGGCCACATTGCTCACCTGAGTCAATATGGCCCTGTTTTTCTTCATCAGCAGATTTTTTCCCTATATATTTTTATGTAAAACTTTGATCCCCCATTGTGGCCTGACCTTACATTCAGGGATCATGATTTGATTTGAACAAATTTGAAACTAGCCATACTACACTACCTTCATTTACTTCCATATAAATATGACCAATCATGACATTGATGTTCTTGAGAAGAAGATTTCTAAAGACTTTTGTCTATATACACTGTGTTCCTTTGTAAAACTTTGATCTTCAATTGTGGCCCCATCCTGCCCTATGGGGTCATGATTTGAATTGACATATATATTAAAATTGAAATTTTAATTTAAAAATGTTGTACATACCTCATTTAAGCATAGACTTGCTGATGTGTGCTTGACTGAAAAGTTAGAAAAAAAGCAAATATTATATTTCCTTTTACATGTAATAGTTTGATAAAATGTTTTGACTTATTACCATGTGCCAAGATATTACAATTTACTTTGTGCATTTGAACATTGAGCAATCCATGATTTTTATTTTCCAATGATAGTTCCATCCCTAAGCTATTCATTGAAACATTGACTAGCATTAATGACTACAAATTATAAAGCTGTACTTTTCAGGCATAATACGCTTTGGGTATTTTCTCTTGTTTTATATGCATTCCCTTGCTCAAATCATGGTATCCCTTGATCAATTTACTATACATATTTTACTTGTAATCTAGTGTTACTTTCTACACCTTTAAAATGTGGCCTAAATGTCGATTTAAAAAAAAAATCGTTTTGCAACATCCATTTGGGGGTAATGGTAAAATATGTATGTGGAAGAAAATATACCACATGCTGAGAAAATCTCTAAGTAAAAACTTTTTAAAAACCATTTATATCGTCTATAAAAGAAGACAACAAAATATTGAAAGAAAAAAAGAATTATACATATATAACACAGGCATGGATTCCATGGAATGCCTTTTTTAATAACTAAACATTCCTATTCCTCATAGGACTGTTTCAAACTGTTTATAGAGCCTGGTAATAAAGTCGAAGTGTGCGATAAAATAAGCAGCACCATAAATTAAAGCTATTTTTACAATGCTTAAATCTGTAGCTTTTTCTCTGGTTTGTCTGTAGAGAGCTCGATATGTTCTGCAGCTAGAAACATCACTGGAGTAAATCCCTGTACATCCTTGATTGAACCTAGATACATGTAGCTATTATAGGAAGTGCAGTGAAGCACCGCTCACTCTTATGTCAACATCTGGGGGAAGAGAAAATTCACACTTTGCACATTGATCCAAAAGAATTTTTTCCACAGTTACCCCTAGACCCGAAATTGTATCTCACCCCAAAGTAACTATATTCTCACAGTAACAAGAAAATTTCACAATAAAATGAACTCACCTTGATTTAATGGATATTGTAGATAAATAGTAGATTAAATGTTCCTTGTTAAAATTTGCATTTTTCAGACATCGCTATGGTAATGCAACTAGCATAAAAAGTCATGTGACATCAGTCTTTAAAAAGTGGTTCCCTAAGTCACATGCAGTTTGAAGAGGCAGATCTAAATAACTGAATAGGTATCTGCGCTTGCCCTAACGGTCGAACTGTCAACATGTTAATACTATACTAGGGTTATTGAACTTAATTATGTTGGTGAATATCGGCACGTCAGTTGGCTGTACAAATTCATGAGCTTGTGAGTGCATTTGTACAGCTAATGAGTGCCAATTATAATTCACCAATATAAGTTCAATAACACCTTTATTATGCTAAAACATCTCCCATTAATTTATATTAATTATTTCAACTAAATAACTCAAATTAATAAGAATTTTCAGTATTGGTATTTAAATTAATGTCTGTCCTGTAAGTGTTTTATATCGCATCATTCCAATGACCCTACCAAGCATTGTGATATGCTTATTAGGCCAGCTGCATCAGGGTTAGAAACTCCCTAAAATTACAACTCGCAAATAATTGCGAGTACCAAGAAAGTGAACTCGCAATTTTATAAGACTACTCGCAATTTTCATATAAAGTTAAATTTATATAAATTAAATACATGTAACTTAAGGAAAAAGTAACTACTGTAGAATACACAAAATACAACTACAGTGTGACTTTTATTTAAATTACTGATTTAAATCAAAAGCATTGTGTTCTGTCATATTATATAATTTTGCTACAGTTTCAGTGCAAAAAAAATCAACTCGCAAGTTTTTGCGAGTTACCTAATTTTTAACTCGCAATTTGGGAATTCTAACTCGCATTTTGCGAGTTGTATATAGTGAATTTCGAACCCTGCGCATGCACCCAGTGTTTATTGACTCAGAGGCTTAAATATGTACTAATTTATTAATAATTTCAATTTTGCATGAAAATAACCAAAAATAAATGCATCTTACCTAGCTGCCACTACCTATCATAAATTTGCCTCTGAGAGGTTGACCAGACAACATTTTTTTGTTTACAACGGGGCGTTCGATATTGAACACTTGTATTTGGAATTTTTCAGGCATACTACGTGCAGTGTTCAATAAAACACCAAATTACTGAATGCTAAAATTCTCTAGACTTTTTGTAATTTTTTCTTTAAAGGCTATATCATAATAATAAGACTTGCATTTCCAATGGTGTGTGATTGGATATGATTTCCATCCAATTCGCCAAAAGCTCAGAAATAGAAAACACACAAAGAGTTGGATAAAAATCTCATCCTATCATAAACCATGGGGGATCCTATACTTATGTATTACTACTAGCCACTATACTTTAAAAACTGCTAAACAGCTAAGCCACAGGAGTTCGCAATTTTATCAATAAAGTCAATAGAAATCACTGGATTGACCAATCCATGAGCTATGCGTTATCAATAAAGTCAATAGAAATCATTCGATTGACCAATCCATTACGCATAACTCATGGATTGGTCAATCGAGTGATTTCTATTGACTTTAATGATAAAATTGCGAACTCCTGTGGCTAAACAGAATTAGATCTATCAATTAATTAGCAGATACTGAAAATATTTTTTCAAATAAACGTACTATGTATATTTGCGACGCCTATTTTTATCTTCTTTATTTCTGGGACCTGATGGAGCACATCATCTGTAATTAAGTGACATCCCCGCTTCTTGGCAGAAATGGCGATCTCTCTTTGATACCATACACTGCCTTCTCCCGACTGAGACATTTCTGGCTAAATAAAGCGTCTTAGAGAGAAAGACAAAGGGACAACTAATAGAAGAAATCACGAGGAACTTAAGCATGTTAAGACACAAGATATTTATTAAATTAGAAATGTAGTTAAACGCATAGCCCATTCAGTGTATCATTTTCAGATTTTTTTCATTTTAATAAAATTAAAGGAATCATGTTGATCATCAGAAGCTCCTCCAAACCAGAGATAAAAATTATTCTATAAAAATATTCCTAGGAAAAAAAAAATTGCAAAAAATAACTACTGCATTAAAGACTATAACATATAAAATATGATGTCAATATGCCATCTTCAGATTGTTTATTTCTTTATCATATTAAGATATAAAGATATTTAATTTTTTTAATCCATCGTCTTTCACAGATTTTCAAGATCTGCTATAATTAGACAAACCCTTTGCAGCAGGGAAGGTATAATGCCCTGATAGTATAATGCCCTGATTGACCTGATTACATATAAATAATGAAATAAAGAGTTTTTATGTGCATAAACAATATTATTTTTATTGGAAACGATGAATATTATCATTTTCTATAAGAATCATGAAGAAAATGCAAAATAAAAGTTTTATTTGATAGAAAATAATGTCCTGATTTTGGGGTATAATGACCTGATGACCTGATTGTATAAAAACTGCTAATAAACCCAATTCAGCATAATTTTCATATTACAATTTGATTAAATATTTTTTTAGGATTATATATGAAAGTAGTTTAATTAAGTGTGGGGGAAAATATCTATCATATTTTGTTCAAAATCACTTTTGAAGTTTACAAAGGGTATAATATCCTGATTTATGAATGCTCTGATTGACCCGATTTACGTGTAAATGTGTGCGAATTCATGATTGAATTACTTGCTTCAATGAAAAGCTTAAGTTATATAACCTTACTGTAGATATTATTAAAAATAATATATTGAAAAACAATATATTTCTGAGAAAATGTTGACCTATACAAAGAAGCATTAATCATGTAAAACAATGCATGCATATGATAATAAATTAAATAATTATACAGAACAATCTTTAAAAACATGATGATAAAAATCACATATTATAACTTAAGCATTATATTTTATTTGGGGAATTATTGATAATGTATATTTGATGATTCTATACTAGTACTTACATACATGCACACTTTTAGCTTTTAGAGGATATGATTTCTTAGAATTTTTATTATAATAATAAAAAAAATGATGACCTAGCTGATATTTTGAAATGACCAGATACCTAATCTGATGACTTGATATTTTCTGCAGGTACAAATTATACTAATGATGTGTTTAGATATTAAACACTTCTGCTGTTATGTGTTTAGAATTTAAACGCTTGTGTTTATGTGTTTAGATATGTTTAATTTCTAAGCACACAAGTGTTTAAATTCTAAACACTTTCTAAGACATGTTTAGAAATTTTACATGACTGTTTAGGAATTAAACATATAAAAAAGGAGGTGACAAGAAAGTGTTTAGAAAAGTGTTTGAATTGCAAACACATTCTTTACAGTGTATATAATTGAGGATCTGATATTGTAAAAGAATTTGACTTTTTCTAACGGCCGGGTCTTTCAAATGACCCGGTATATATTTTTATACTTTGTTTTACGTGAATGAAACAAAAGTTAATGTGTCTAAGATATTTTCTCATAAATAATAAGATTTTAGTTTAACAACATATTTTACAGACATAAATTTTTATCTGATATATATAGCATTCAACATAGGAAACGTCATATTGTTTAAATAAGAACTGATATTTGTAAATGCATGATTACACCTGCTCACTTACAGATTTACCTCAAATATTTTCCTTTTTTTCACAAACAAGTTAAAACAATATTTAAATATGCATTAAATTAGAGAAACATTTTCAAAAAGTTTATTAGGCTGTTTAGCACCTAATAGTTTTAAGACAGATTCAAAAACTTCATTATATAAAGTATATATAAATTCAAATGTATATAAATATAATTAATAAATAATTTTGTCTTTTTATATAATGTGCAATAATTAAATCAGAAAAATTAGATTCTATCAGGTTTGTTTATGAAATATGCGGTCAGCAGAGCATGGTTGACTGGGATTACACAGGTGATAATTACAGAAGCCATATACGGGATATAGTACACAGGATATGTATGGTCTATGTCCCTTTGACACTATCAGACATAATAAACAAGCAGTGTATGATTATCCAAACAGTATATTGTTTGTTTTTCAATTGATCAATTTATTTTGTTCTACTGTCTGTACCTTGCAGTAAGAATTAAAGTTAAATATTGGCATATATATATATATACATGTTCAATTTTTTTTTTTATCCTTACTTAAAATTATTTCCACAAGAGACTTCATTCATTTTACATTTTTAATAGAAACACATCTGATCAACAAAACTGAAGATGTATATTTTTACTTAGTAAATTTTCCATCAGCACATAAGTGCTCGTAACTTTTAAAACAAAAAACAAATGAAAATAAACAAACAAACAAACAAAAAAAAAAAAAAAAAAAAAAATTATATCTTTTTCACAGTTTTAAAATATTAAGTTACCTCAGGCCATATATTTAAAATATCTGCATTATTTTTAGACTTTTTTTAAAAAATGGTTTGGCTAACACAGCCTGTGTATCAATATTTTGTTCATTTAAAAACATTTCTAATCAATCTCTCTAAAACTATCAAAGTTTACTACTAAGATTTTGGATTGTTTTGATGAATCATATAGCACAATATAATAAAATGAATGGCTAAGAATTCTACAATAAAATGCATGTATATTATGTTATTTTAACTTAAAAAAAAATAATAAAAGAATTAAATTAGAATGAAAATCAAAGTATAAAGGAATTATTCACATTTTCATTAGTTACAATGAATGAGTATATACATAAGTATTTAAATCAGGTCATTATTGAAAATCAGGGCATTCAAAAATCAGGGCATTATACCCCTGCTAACTTCCAGAGCGGCTTTTGAGCAATAGAAAATAGATATTTTCCCAAAATCTTTTTTGTAAAACTTTTATTTATCCTAATGAAAATAAATCAGACTGAAAAGTGAAACAAATATAATGAAAACTTGCTTTTATTATAGGTTTTCATATTATCATGTCATCAGGTCATTATACCCCAAAGTCAGGGCATTATACCCCTGTCAATTTTATCTGTCAAATAAACAAAATAAAAAATATATTTTTTAATTTTTTCTTTCATGAATCTTATTGACATTTAGTATCCTAATTATAAGCAGTTAAAAGAAACTTGTTTTGGCACTTTACTACTTCATATTTTAGAATTAAATGTGATCAGGTCAATCAGGGCATTATACTATCAGGACATTATACCTTCCCTTTGCAGCAGAAACTGGGGAGAGTGGAGGTAAGGATGTATGCAGAAATTTCTTGTTATTGCATCGTTCTGCTGGTCTTATGTTCCTTGAGCCTATTTCTGACATCTCATATGTTTATTTTCTCCCATAATTTCCACCGGTACGGCTTTAGTTGAAATTGTTGAAAGATAAAAAGTATTTTTGTAAGGAAAATCAATACGACAAATATATAGGCCTATTTGGACAGCTTTGGAATTAAAACAATACAATACGAAACAACAACACATGTGCTTGCTCCTGGAATGTAAAAGATATTAACAGCTGATTAATAAGGAAAAAAATCAAACATAAAATTGATATCATGACTTTAGCAGTGTATTTTTGGGTGAGTTTATTTAGTACATTGTTACCCGTAAATATTGCTAATTATAAAATATTTTATGGTAGGATCATTGGGGTGAGTGCAGTTGTGCCATCAGAAACCTTTACACAACTTACACAGGTAACTTTTATTTTCCTCTTCAAACTTCAAGCCGCACGGCATATTTAAATTCATGACATCTCTAGGTACATATAAGTTACACTTCTGTAACAATTTAGTTGAAATAGGCCAATTGCATTATTTTTTAACAAAATGCAATGGCATTGTAGAGAAGATGCAATTACAGTGTGTTTTTTTTGTTGTTGTTGATCCTTCTAAACTTTTTGCAAGTGTTGCAGTCAGTCGAGTTTGATCGCCAGACTGGCCATGCAGATAGCTCAGTTGGTAGAGCACCTGACTGGAGATTCAAGGGGCCAAGGTTCGAATCCCGGTCTGGTCCATCACATTTTTCTCCTCTCCCGTTACACAAGAACTAAATAGTCACGATAACTGTGGGCCAGTTATATTCCCCAGTAATGCAGGAAATGCTGGTAGTGAAGGCACTCTGGGAAGGTTTTACAAGAAAATTTGCTTGACAAATTATACAGTGTTTTAATTAAGTTTTCTCTTTTCTGATATGATAGTCTATTGAGCTCACTTCACAAATCACAAGTGAAGCTCTTCGATACTGTGCTGCTTAATTGCTATACTCAATATGAAATTATATTTACATTTTATGAGTTGATCATTTGGTATTTGCAACTAAATATGGTACATAAACTACTGACCATGTTAAACAGCTGTGGTTTAATGAAAGGATATCCTGAATTTTGAAATAAGGCCATTCAATGTTTTTTCTATGTTTATAGCATCGACATGTGTCATATGATTTACCGTTTTGTTGAACATGTTGAAACCATTGAATTCCTTAATTCAATATTTCTCTCTAAATTTGTGGAGAATTTGTCAAGTATTAAGGTATGTGTATATGCACTGGCTTGATTTTGCAAAGAAATGGATCTTTTTATGAGAAAAATAGGATATAATGAAATCAATTCTGAGTCTTTGAATTACATTATTTACATCATGTACTCCATGTACATGTATGTATCAAGGTTGATTCAGAGGTAGGATTAAAACTATGAGATAAACTTGTAAATAATTATATTGATAAGTAATCTGGTAATTGCACCTATTTTTTCAGTGTTTATTATGAGAATGATAACCTACATTGGAGAATATATGATAATTCTTGCATAAGCATACACATTATTAAGGCCCCAGTGTTGATCATGACCTATATACACTATTTCTTAATTAGGATTTACTGAATATACATCATAGATGTACATAATTATGAGATCTATGTGTTCATTTAATTTCCCTTCTCGTGTGTGAATCACATGAATACAGTCCCTGTGTTCTGCTAGCCCTTTAATTTTACCATTTGATTAGCATTTATTTGTTTACCATTTTGTAAAATGTTCCCTATAAGTCTATCCTTTTGCCTTAGATTGTCCTCTTGGATGTCCACAATGAATTGGTCTAGATCTGCATGTCTGTTTAAAATTTTTTCAGAGAAGAAAAATAAATTACCATATATATTCACTCTTATTATCCTCACAGTAAAAAAGAATGCAGCACTTTGTCACCCCCATCATATTATGATATCTAGGATATAGGTAAAAATTACAGAGTGAACAACGAATAAATGCTGTATAGGGGAAATGCTGTATAATACAACATTAGTGAATTAACAGTGAACCAGCAATCCTTCATTTAGCATTTCCTGAAATGTAATTAAAGTGCATTACATCATTGAAAATCTTAATTCTTATCTTATCTACTCATGTACATTTAGCAGGCAAACTATTTCCATGATTATAATGAAACACCTATAAACCTTTTAGTCGTTATTGTGAACTTCATCCCCTAGCTTACATGGCTTTGAAAATATTCACATATATTATATGGCCTTCAAAATTTTCAGTATCATGTTTACTGTATACAGGGTTATTTTCGCCCCATGTTATTTATACCCTTTCACATTTCCAAGCAATTTTGCCCCATTTTAAATTTGCCCAGTCACAGTTCTGTATGAGAAATTATACTTTGTTCTTTGAATTTGCCCTGTTTTAAATTTGCCCACCTGTGAGTAGGAAGAAAATAAAACGGCGTCTAAAATTTCTCTGTATACATGTACTCATGGACTGACCCCTCCATCTGAGCAGGCAAATTGTTTGCCTCATTAAAATGAGCAGTAAGCCCTCTACAAAAATTACAAAATGTATATTTTCGAGATCAGGCCCCAGGGTGGGACTAAGTTGGTCGTATAATGAAAATCTATGATACTTTGTTAATACATGTATCCTATTTCTTTACTAGACAAGTGAACTTTTTTTTGGAGATAAGCTGCATGAGTATGATAACTAAGGAATAAGGTATCATTTTTAAACTTTTATCGGGATGCAAAATATGGGTTGTTCATGTGATCAAATCCCATAAAGCCCAAATTGCTTATTACTTTATAACTTATATATATTTACATTTGAGACTGATTTAAAAGGTATTTTATGTAATCAAGTTTTAAACCCATTAAATGATTGAATTTTTTCAAACCTTAAGGGTATAAATTGAATGTGTTGAACTTGTCTACCACTTATGAAGTCACTGTGAAATTACGTCAATCGTTTATGACTGAACAATACATGAGTTTATATATATATAAGCCTAAAGGACACATGATGAACTTGTTTTCACCAGTTCACACAGAATTAAATACCCCTTGCTTAGATAGTGTTATATAAGGGAAAACATTTGCAAATGTAAATATCAATTATAAAGTCCTCATCAAACTAAATTTTTTTTCTCATATGAGGCCAGAATTCCAAGTGGGTAATTTAAAAATTATCATTGTAAAAAAATGTTCATAGCCTAAGAAACTTGTGATATTCAGGTGACTGTTAAGGCATATGGGCCTCTGTTTTTAATTTCTGGTAAATATATATCTCTTCACATTCTTGACACCTTTTCATGGTTTTTAATTTTATAAAAACAGATCTGGTTACTTACAAAAGGGTCAGAGTATGGAGAGCAATGGAAAGGTATGCAGATTGTCCTAGCTATTTAAATCTTATCTTTCCTGATCATGTTGTAGATTTAAATGAATGAAGAGTCAAAGATATTACGTTTTGTAATTTAAAAGGGTACCAATTGGACCGAAGAAAATGCGGTAACAAAAACGATATAACTGCGTTTGTAAGATCTCTGTAGAAAATGTAGAAAATTTGTGCATTTCGAAAACAGCTCACAGTAACGGTAGGTTGTATAAGATGAAGAAAAACAATAAAATTGCACATGCTCAGAAAATTTTCGGAAAGAATATATATATATATATATATATATATATATATATATATATATATATATATATATATATATTGACTTAAATTATTTCTTACAATGAAATACATATAGTAGCTGCAATATATTTAATTGCAAATAAAAAAAAAATGCAATAATAAACAAGACATATATTAACTGCATGATTGATTTTTGTAACACTGAAGTGCTAAATCATCTGAAAAATTTAATATACAATGTAATGATATTAATAAATGTATTAATTCACTTAATGAAATGTACATGCATGCAGGCTTTTAAAGCCCTTTAAGGACATAATATGATACAAACAAAACATGGATGCCAGTGGATTAGTATATATTTTTGGACCTCTTTTGATTGTAAATGATGGAAATAAAAAAAATTTCTAAAATATTAAGAATTTGTAAACTCTCTATGTCATGGTGTTAAAAATTCTACCATTAATCTGCACCTGTCCTTGTTAATGTGTACAATTTTTTTGTCACTTAAAATCACATTATTGTGAAACTTTGAATTAAAGATTAAAACCTATGCAGGTAAACTTATTCATTTTACTGATATTTAACATGATTAAAGTTGTTATTATCAAATTTTTTTGTAAAAGTTTGACTTTTGTATTATCTGCATGTCCTTTATGTATGCACAATTGCACATATATATACGTCATGTATATGTATAACATCAATTAATTCATGCATAGAATGTCAAGCAGCATGATCATTAGGTGGTTTGCATTTTGTATTACACAAATTGCAGTAAATAACCTGAAGACATTTTTACACTTAATGCTCTATTAACCTCTGAATAAACCTGAACCCTTAAATGTCTGCATGTTGACCTTGTATTGTACAAGGCTTTTATTTAGAAATGTGAAAACAGCTTGGACAGACTTGGTGGTCAGTTCATCGAGTGACCTATATTTTGACAGCTAGCTCTCTTGTACACATACATGTACATGTATGTATGTACTTTATGATGATCTGAAGTTAAATTACCTCCAACAATGTTTACTTAGAGGTGGAATATATTTTTAAAGGCTTATAAAAGATTATAATTACTAGAATGATTTTTCTGGAATACTCATTTATTGTGTAAGTTATATACCTGTGTGACTGTGTAAGTATAAAGTCTGCATTTCTTCAGGGCATTTGATCCTGTGTCTGAGCTATATAGATATAAATCCTGTAATGGCAATATTACTCAAGGACATTTCAAATTGTAGCATATTCCATAATGAGAAATGTGCCACAGTTTTATAGCTCAGTCTTGTGATATAAATTCTCATTGGACATACTGTAGGGAGTTACTTGTGTCAGACTGTAAAATATACTTAATGTCATAAGTACTGTTGAATGGGATTGCCTTTAATGAATGAGAAATATTAACCCAGTTTATATAGATGTACTACACTATTTATACTTCCAGGAAATTCATACCAGGCTCAAGGGGATAGTTATTAACATCAAATCTGTGTAGACAGTCTGAGTAGGAAAGTTATATATACCGGATAACGAGAACTCAGACTTCATAAAAGGTGGGTATATGTTAGAACAAAATGATTGTAACAGTTGGTTTATAAATGTGTTTTTAGAAGGCAAAGAATATTCCAAATGTGTTAATTAACAGTTCAACATGTTCTGTTGAAAGGGTTATTATCATGGTTAAGTTAATTAAGTCCCTAAAGCATATAAAGTTGTGGGGGTCGGGAAGGGGTGTTTATTTCAAGTGTCAGTATATTCCTCTATGAATAGGCCATATCATTTACTTCCATTTACTTAGGGTCTTTCAAAGATTATATTTAGTTAAAGCATAATTGTAGAGCTATGTCACAGTAGCCTTGTGGTACAGCATTCAGTTTGTGATTAGGAGGCTTAATTTGGTTCAATTCTCGATTGTCGGATTGCCGCGCCATGTCAAACCCGAGACACATTAACTGATAGTGACCATTCCTTCACCAGATGCTGGGGAGTAATTGACACACATGCACACCTCACAGACAGACAGAACTGTGATAGTCACAGGTCTTTTGGGTGAGACCTTACAAACTCCTGTTTCATCATAGCTGTTGGCATAATAAAGAACCCTCAATGCTCAAAGGCCTTTTCAATGAGTGCTAAGTCTAAATTTGAAGCCCTTCAGCGGTACTTGGTGAAATCTCTCTAAGAGTAAAAATTCTTGAATGACACAAAATAACAAACAAGAAATAAATCAAACAATGTTTTGTGGAACTTTGTGAATTTCACTTAAAGTTACACAATGAAGTATATAAAAATTAAAGCTTCCTGTGATATTTAAATGCATTTATATCATCTGACAATAATCTTATTACAGTAAAACTTGTCTAATACTGACACCATTGGTTCCAAAGAAATTGGCTGGATTAGACAACATTCCGGATAGTTGAATTTATTGAATGGGATTTAAAGTTTACATCGATTAGGCATGATTCAATAGGAATACACAACAACCAGATAGACAAGTTTCACAGTGAATGTACATGTTAGAAAGACTTTGAAATTCACGACAGTTTGAAATACTGTATGCAGGGTTATTTTTGCCCTGTGTTATTTTCCCCCCTAACATTCACACTTGCAAACAATTTTGTCCTGTTTTAAATTTGCCCAATCACAGTTCTGTTTAAGAAATTCTAGAGTGTGTTTTGAATTTGCCCCATATTAAATTCCCCCAATTCAGAGTAGCTAGGGCAAAAGGAGCAAAAATAGAATGGGGGCAAAAATTTCTCTGTATACATTATTCAGAAATGTTCTTTACTAAACGTGGTATCCACGACCTTTCTTTAATTTGCCATCTGTCATCTTCATTGAATGTGTGTCACGTATCGAATATCCACCTGTTTTATAAAAAGGAAAAATGTGGTGTGTCCGGTTGATCAAATGTTTGTCACTGACATATCTGATTTCTAAAGTTGAAAAGTTTATCGCATGAATTTAAAGAAAAACCTCATGCTATTGGTAAAATTAATATCCATAGGATAGATATTTAATCATTTTAAAGCATATATTGTAAAAAAAGATTTAAATACGAGTAAACAACTAACAAATATGGCTGTTTGGGACATGTACTGATATTGAAATTAGTATATATTTTTAAGGTCCTTGGTTTATCCAACATTATAATATCATCAGACTTGCATGTACTATCAAGAGCCTGATCAATCAGAAACATCCCATATTTATAAAAACAGACAGTTTATACAAAGTTGTTATGTTCTGTGTGATATGTCATGTACGTTTTACTAAGTGCTCATTTTGGAACAATAATTCTCCATCTTAGACAGGTACCCTGACATTATTGACAGCTATTGTCTGGCATCCATGTGTTCTTCTGTCTGTCTCTCTGTAACCTTTGAACTCCAATTTGTAAGTTTTCAAAAAGTTTCTTATTAATATACACTGCATTTTGTATCAGTGGTGGTGGTGGTGGTGGTGGTGGTGGGGGGGGGGGGGGGGGTTAATATGCAGTGTAATTGTAGGGTGTGTAATGGAAATATTGGTTACCCAGAATGTAAATAAAATAAATGTATTGAGAAAATTCAATAGAATGGGATGGTCTATAGACTATATGAATCTGCAAGCAATATTCTGCTTTTTAAGCCTTGCCTCCTTATATGTAACTTTAACTGAGCAGCGTCATGAATATTCATGATTTTATTTAGAACATATCAGAACTTTTCATATGACAAAATTGCGAGGTGTTCAGAAAAGGTTAAAGTATCAGCTAGTTCATCAAACTGTCAATGCACCCTTTTGCAGGGAATCAATTTTCTTACCTGATTTTCAGGGAATCGGCAAAATTAATATATTGATTTACTCGTATTTAGTGAAAAATCAGTAGAGGCGGTATATAATTTTTGTGTTATTACACTTGATACAAAATGTAATAAACAAAATGTAATAATTTCAGTTTATTACATGTTGCAACTTTATTACAATAAGGGTTGTAACACACTGCTATAACCTTACAGAACAATGACTATGAATTATATCATAATTACTGTTTATTAATTAAGTAACAGTTCATAAATTTTGTATGAAGGTATTAATATTATTATAAATTGATAGTTTAACACTTTAGGTGAGTTTATGTGTTGAATGTATGGAGGAAGTCGTAACTATTAACATATGATACAACATTCTAGTTTGTGAACCAAGTTATAAATAAACATATAAACCTTCTTGACAATAAATCACTGTTTGACATATTCATTCCAGATTTTAACCTCACTTTTTTCAATAATAGAAAATGATAAATTGCATCATTTCACCAATATACATATAATTGTATATTTTCCACCCGTACAACTTTTAGACTGGCTTTTCCTAAATATAGAATATAATTACAATTAGCAGATTGACTTATATACAGTTATCTATAATTACATGTATTATGAATTACTTATTGCATACAGTTTTCTATCTATTTGATTTTAAGGACGGCTGAAGACAATTCACATGTATATACACATGTATATCTTGAATAACTGCAGGTGTAAGTCATTTAAGTTATATAAAAGTGATTAATTCTTCTCTTTATTGTGATGATTTAAATATTTCTGTGAATCAGTCTTATTGTTATCTAAGCATCAAGGATCAACGTTTTGAAGGGGGGTCACAGGGCAGAGAGTGGTCACATGATATTTCGTTTTTAGGAAGGATATATTAAGGAAATGTCAAACCAATTGCATTTGCATCGGTCCACTTCGTCACCTTTCTTTTGTCACAAAAACTAACCTTCAAACATAAAAGAGCTGAGTTAAACTAGGGCAAAAGGCAGATTCATCTTTACACTGAAAGATGTTATACCCTCAGCTTGTTTAATTTAGTGAGCATATTTAAGTGTTTTGTATAATTTTTAAAACTGTACATAATGGTATATTCCATTAAAGAGTGAATATATGGAATTATTTCTCAGCAGATTAATAAAGATATTAATTGGGCATTATATTAGTGGGAATTTATTAAAATTTCCTAAAGGTAGGTTATTTTTTTCACTTCATGTACTGTCTGTGCACAGGTGCACATGTACAGGTCCCCAGGTACACGGCACCACAGATCAAGCTTCATTGAACACACTTCAGGGAAAGATTAAGTGGGCTTGATATTTATTCCCCTTTAATTTTTAATTTGGATTTTCTTTTTGTGTTCAGAAATTATAAATTGATTCAATATAATAATGCTACAGAAAGATGTTAAACACTGATCATGCTGATAGTAAAAGTTGTTAATGATTTTTTTCAAATGTTATTTAACTGATAGGTAAATTCACTGATGGCATGTTGGATTATGTGTTTAAATAAGGGGGAAAAATTGATTTAACATTTTATGACTTATGAATGTTAAGATTGTTCAATCTACTACACATGTGTCAGTCTTGTCATTTGTTCATCATTTGAAGATATGAAATGGAAAAGTGGAGATCTTATAATGTTATACATGTATTTGAAGAATTTAAGACCCTCTCGGCATTTATTTATCATTATTTTACAGGAATTGATCATCAAAGGAAGACCTTGGAGTAGTCTTGTGTCCCTGATAAAGAAGATTTATATGCTTTCATTTGTCTACCGTGGAATTTGTTATATCTAAAGAGGGAGGAAAATCAATCGATTCAAAGATTTTTAAAAAAGTGAAAATGAATTGTGATCAAGACTTTAAAAAATCTGCTATGTTTATAGAGGAAAATTTTGAAGAGGACCTCATACATTTTAAGAACAACTGATTTCATAGATTTAATTAAGAAAAATTTCCATCAATGTACATCTAAACTGTGTGTCAGTCAGTTTATGATGGAAAAGCAAGATACACAAATGTCTACATTGACAACCAAGGACGTCATCATGGACACTGAAAAAACGGTGAATTCCAATGGTTTGTCAATGCAAAATGGACATGCTAAAAATGGGCATCTAGAGAAGGGTATTCCTGAACCAGAGAGAGGCCAGAACAAAGTAACCATTAACCCTGATGTTGAGGTGAAGACAGTCAAAAAGAGCAGTGGGAAGGAGAAAACACAACACATTGGATTCTTTCAGCTGGTAGGTCTTAAATCATTGACACAAAACACGACCACCCTGATGAGAGCTACATTGATGCACAGTCACACAGAAGCAGTAAAATTATCAGTTAAATTGGAAAATTTTGAGCTTTCTTTTGAATGTCAACTGTTACATAACGATGTTAAAAAAAATTCAGAAAGAAGAAAATCATTTCTGTTGAATATTTTTAAACCCACAAAAATTTTGAGCTTTCTTTTGAATGTCAATTGTTACATAATGATGTAAAAAAAAAAATCAGAAAGGAGGAAATAGTTTTTGTTGAATATTTTTAAACCTGGACCCATAATCTTGCTAACCAGCAAGTGGGTTTTGCTGAAGTGAGGATTTTATGAAAATTGATATGGCTTGAGTGATGAAATTTCCAAAGTTTTTATCAAATTTCTTATTAAATAATACTGTAGAAGCACAAATTTTCATGGGGATAAAATTTTGTTGTTTTGTCGTCTAAGAAGGTTTCGTGGGCATTAAAATTCGTTGTTTCGAAAATAACCCTATTCTGTATATAATCATATAAGAATTTCGAGTTGGATTTAATTTCGTTGAAAATTGTTGACAATGAAATAAACAAAATTAAATCCCAAACGAATATTTCTGCTTTTACGGTATACAATTATGGACTTCAGTGTAGGTCAATATGTGGTTATCAGGACCCATATCAAATGATATTGATTGAAGACACAGAAAGTGATATCATCCAAGCTTGCGAGTTCGCTACCATTTTCTGTGAGGTCATTCACAGTCCATAATAGTTATATTATATAATCGCTCAAAGTGAATAATTTGACACAGTCTTAACTGAACAGACTTGGCTGTCATTAAGTCACAATGATAGAAACATGCTTCTTGTATTACAACGTCATGTTCTACGTAACTGGTGCATCAGCTGAACGATGAGTCATGCGATATCATATTCCGTGGATGCACTTTCCCATCTATATATCACAAAAGGATGAATATCGTGTGACATCCTTTCAGCCAATGAAAATATATACATATTGTAAACCCATGTATACATATTGGTTTAAGGAACAAAAGTGAATCAGGAATTTTTGATTTCTCAAAATTTTATTCATTCATTTAGATACATGTGTACACAGTGTATATATCCTTTAACATATACTGGCCATTTCTAAATATACAAAGTTGAACATGTTGAAAGCATATATTTTAGAAAGATATTTTGATCATGCAAAAAGGATCGATGTACAATGAAAAATTCTGTATTTGATTTCCTTTCTAGTTCCGATATGGCAGTGCCTTTGACAAGTTTATATTGGTCGTTGGGATTCTATGTGCCATGGGCGGTGGTTGTGCAACTCCTATCAACTTTTTTGTGTATGGAGAGCTAGCCAACACATTTATTCTGTATGATGTCGCTCATAAAATAAACTTCAGGTAAGAAACTCGGTCTGAATTGTAAACCATTCCCTGACAGTACTAACTGTGCGCTTTCTTAGCATATACACAAAATGTTTATGATAAATATTGAAAAATAAATGTGGTTTTAATGAAGAAGAAAAAGGGGATGAGCTGTTTTCATCATCTATGAGATCTGTTCAACTGCCCAGCTAGTATACATAATAAATTCAATTACATAAGTACTTTCATTCAACATTTTCAAGAATGCCTTTCATTATCAGTACATGTAAGACCATTTTATGTTTTTCAGATTGACCTGACATATTGAGTAAAATTCATCAGTTTTAGTTGATAAAATACATGTAAGGATACTAAAATTGAGTAAAATTGTAATTTATTCTTTTTTTTTAAACTTTTGTAGCAATACAAACCAGACTCTGTTATTTGATCGAGAAGCTCTACAAAACAGCCTGAATCTTCTAGACATAGCCAAGGAGTACGCTCTGTACTTCAGCCTTATTGCCATAGGTGCCTTTGTTTTAGGCTATTGCAGCATCTTTTGTTTCACGCTGTCAGCAGAGAGACAGATCCGAGTCATCAGAAAGCTTTTCTTTCGCTCTATAATGCGACAGGACATGGAGTGGTTTGATACACATGAGAGCAGTGAACTCAGTACAAGATTTTCAGAGTAAGCGTTGTATGTTTATTAATTAATACCATTACATCATAAAGACAGAGCTTAATTGATAAGTGCCTTTTGGGTCAGGGGCCTGTGCGCTTTTGTTTTGGAATTTTTACATAAAATTGTATGAAATTAGAAGACTGCATTAATTTCTAGTTTAATTTCTTATTAAATCATTAAAATGTATACTAAAATGATTCGTAAAATTAATGTAAGAATTTTAATCATTCAGAGACTCGATCATCAAATACAAAATTTAAATCCATTTACATGGTTTATGGAGCCACATTTACAAATGTAGGTAGGAAATGTCTGAAATTTGGGGTGAGGGTGGGAATTTCTGTAGTGGGATGGGTCGTAACTTTTACAGGAAAGAGATTTTAGGACATTAAATCCTAAAGAGGTCATAAATTTATTAGATTGATAAATATCAGTGTAGTATTTGTAATGGTATATTTACGTAATACATGTACATGTCCAGATGTCTGATCAGTACTTTAAATAACTACAATATTATGATCATGTACAGGCATCTACAGTTATGTGTTATATGGCAGTGTGTTTTTATTTGTTGATCATTCATCAGGTGCATTTATATAACAAATATCAATGTGATGTTTTATAACATGAAAATCTGTACACACTAAAAGAAAGAGGCTGTTTACCAATTTGATTACTAAACTAAGATTTTGTATAAAACAAAAGTTGATACAGTCTCTTTACAACTGTGAAATACATTGCATACATTGAATATAACATTTTTTCAATAACATTTAAGGGACATGCATCTAATCTATGATGGCATTGGAGATAAAGTGGCCACCTTTGTCCAGTGGACCACCACGTTCCTGATATCTTTTGTCATCGCTTTTGTGTCTGGTTGGAAACTGGCTCTGGCCACCGTGGCATTTTGTCCATTGGTTATTCTTGTAGGGGGGACTTTAACCAAGGTGAGAATATATGAACAATATGAATTAAGTTGGTGACTCTAGTGAACTTCGTAACTTTCATGAACATGAGGTCTTCCTTTTTGGGTGCATAACTTGTTTCTATGGAGGAAAGCTTTATTCTTTAATATTTACATTTTCAAGTGTTCTTCTCCCAGATAAAACTACAAATAAGGAAATAGCTTTATTTCTTCATAAACTAAGCCATTTGCTCATCACATTACAAAACTGCCTTCTCGCTGTTACTAATTACTTACAAACATTGATAAAATATATGAAACTATTATTTTCATTTAGTTCATATTTCAGTTTATTAATATGCAAGTTTTAATCACAAACAAAGCACAAATAGTTATATTTTATCAGATACCAAAAAGATACACACTCATACCCGAAGCACTAAAACGAAAAATCCTTGACGTTACTCGACGTCAAAAGCTAAATACATTTTTAAAAGTTTTCTCAACGTAGTCACCATTTAACTCAACACATTTCTTATATTGCTTCAACCAGTCATCAAAAATATGCACAAGCTGTTCTGGTTTCATACGTGAAATAATGTTTAACACTTCCTGTCTCAGATCCTGCAAATTACCAAACCTTTGTCCGCGTAAAACGACTGTATGTATGGAAATACGGCAAAGTCACGTTACGAACTTCATTTTTTACAGCACTACTACAATCTCGTGAAGATGGTCTTCCTTCACGCATGTCATCCATTAAACCGTCTCTTCCGTCCGAAAATATTCTGTGCAACTTAAACACTAAAGAATAGATTACTTTACTATGATTTCCCGACTGTTTAAGGAATTTATGGGTCTCTGTTGGTGTTTTTCCGATGTCTACACAAAATTTTATCACTACTCTCTGCTCCACCTTTTCCGAAAACGTCCCTTTTTCGAACAATGACGATCCTGTCTTAATAAACTCTGACCTCGATTTCTCTGCCATTTCGAAACTTTGAACGTTCAAATTTTACAGGCTTGACGTTATAACTTTTGTCAACCTTATAATGTAAAAGCCATCCAAATTTCTGCGGAATTTTACAAAATACAAATGAAATGTATAAAGTGATAAATAACTTTTTAATTGAAACTTTGTTGTGCTCCGAGTCACCATCCCAAGTCTAATAATGAAGTCATAATTGTAATTATCCACTTAAAATTGAGTAAAACTTTTCATTTTGTAATTCACATATAGTAAAGGATTATAAATATGCTAATAATAAATATCTATGATGCAACTTTTATTTATATTTTAGCTTGTCCACGAACTTTACGGACAACCCTCGTATAACCTTTTATAATCTTAACTGGTATACTCTCAAGGGCCCCAAATTGGTTTCAGTAAATATGTACACTGTAGAACCTCATTTTTCAGTTAGGGAATATCTTTAAATTTCATAATTACAGTTGCTGTTTCACACATTCTTCTTCATGTATATTTAAAATTTCATCTTAATTTTTTTTTTCTTTATCAAATTATCATTATTTTATTCATTCCTTAAACTGCACCCTTAGATGCATATCCATTTGCAGGGCTCTTGCTGATTGGTCAGTTTTCTAGTTATAATTTATTTCAATATGCATTTCAGTGGGTACGTAACTTGTCTATGGAGGAATCACAGGCGTACGCTAGCGCTGGCTCAGTGGCTGAGGAGGTCTTCTCTTCCATTCGAACTGTGACTGCCTTCAATGGTCAGGAAAAAGAGTGTAAACGGTAAACAGAAAGTTGAAGCAAAGCTTATAAATAGGGTCAGAACAATAGATTTGTCAGGAAATACAGTCAAACCTTGTTACATCGAACTTCACGGGACTAAGAAAATACTTTAAGATATCTGAGGATTCAAGATATCCAGTGTAAAATACTTAAGAAATAAGCGCTTGGGACTTCAAAATCATTCGACATATCCATGGAATTTGAGATATCCATGTTTGAGATAATGGAGTTCAACTGTAGCATACATTTCTGAGTCAGTAGTTTATACAAAGTTTATAGGTAAGAATTTTAAGGATCTAGAGTGATGAATATTGACTGCTTGTCATTGATTTATAAATTTGTGGTAAATACAAATGAATGTAGACTGATACTGTACTCAAAATTTTCTTAAAGGTAATGAATATTTTCAATAGATCAAGGATAAATTTGTGGTAAATACAATGTAGACTGGTACCGTACTTAAAATTTTCTTAAAGGTAATGAATATAATCAAACGATCAAAGCTAGGTTTCAAAAATGAATTTTGATAGAATACAAGAGTCAAATTTTATCTCAATTTGGTACTGAAAAAACATAATGATCTCATGGGATTCAAGATATTAAGGTTAAAATACATGAAGAAAAAGTTTTGTGGACTTCCAGTTCCCTTGATATATCCATGGTATTTGAGATACCAATGTTTGAAATACAGTTCATCTGTAGTTTTAAAAAGTAAGATATCAGAATTTGATGAGGGTTCGAGATTAAATTGTATAACTTAGACATTACGATTTTTTAGCTGGTAGTACATTAGAGAGAATTTAGAGTTCATGTTTATTGAATATGTCTTACAGAATAAGGTATAATTTTTAAAGTTAAAAGACTGACATTTTAAAATGGTTTATGACAGGTACAATTTGAACCTTATGGATGCCAAGAATAACTCTGCTAAGAAAGGTCTAGTCCTTGGGCTGGCAGTCAGTGCTTTTTGGTTCCTGATTTACAGCACCTTTAGTGTGGCATTCTACTATGGTGTCAAACTCATGCAAGACCCAGATGAAGGGTTTGATCCTGGCAAAACTTTAACAGTAAGTAAATGTGAATACATGTAAAACGTACCTACCCAGTATTTTGAAAATAAAAAAATATCTTGATGATGAAAGAAGCTCTGATTTAAGAATGACAATGAATTTGGAGGGGGAACAAAATCATTAATAAATGGTAATTTTGGAGGCTGCCTAAAAGGGGATGTCAATTTATAATCAGTAAAGCCATACCAGTTGACTCGACCGCTTTAAGTGGAAGTCTACCACTCTTTTTACTCAATCTCCTGCCTACCACTTTTATTGAAAAATCTGCACCTTTTCTACAAAATCCGTTTTGGTTCACTTGCACCAATGTTTACATGGATTTCAAGCATGTGTTTGACAACAACAAGGTGCACACATCTCTGTGATTACATTGGTTATGATAAATTTCGTCAAAATCCCCACCAACAAAAAGGTAGAGACAGTATTCTAGAACTTGGATGAAAACTTTTTACTTCATTATTAAAATATGTAACGTTTTGGGTTTTATAAGTGAATATAAATAAATTCGCTGCCACCAATTGTAACGTGTAATTTTACATCAACTCGGTACCTATGAGGCACGTTACAATAGTTGGGTTTGAAGGTACCTAGTTTTGATAAAGAAAAGAAGTATATAAAGCAGTGAATATATATATTTATTATAGCATCAGAGACAATAAATAAAGTTCAATAAATATTTAAAATGTCTATTCAATAATAAGTTTACTGCCGAACTTCCACTGAGCTCGGTGCTTCTCGGTGCTCGGGGCTACTTGAGTTCGGTGCAACTCGGTTTCCGGTCCTACAAGCCTACAAGGTTTCCAGTGCTACTAGGTGTTCTGTACTACTTCTCGGTTTCAGGAGCTTCAAGATGTTCGATGCTATCTGCTGCTACTGTGTATAACTATACAGGCTCAATCAGGAACTCTGATACTGTAATCAGAACTATATCTGAAATCCAAATTTCTACTTCTTAATAACAAAAAGTCCCCCCCCCCCCCCATCCTATGCTTAGGATGTCATGCGTAGATAGGAAAGTTCTTGTGCTAATGCCAACCATCAACTATAACCTATGCAACTTAGAATGGTCTAATATATACATACTAATCGGTGCTACTTGGTGCTCAGTGCGACCAGGTGCACGGTGCTACATTGTACCCGGTGCTCAGTGTCGCCGGTGCCAAACTGCACCGTAAATTATCTTTAGCTAAATTCTCAATAAAAATGAAATGAATTATTCTAAATTCACCATCGTAAACCTGCACAGTAGATAATAATAAATTTTTACTAATAAATTAAGAAACAAACTTTGGTTCAGAATCCCGCACCGAGTAGTCAATATTTGAATACTTTAAAACATATAAATTCTCAAATATTTCCTAAAGAATTCACATTTTAATTTGCTTTTTCTAAATAGGCTAAGAATTTCTAAAACTAATTTTCTAACTTATCTAAAATATGAAATTACCTTAATCTTGACTGGCACCGACTGACACCAATCTAGATGTTCTTTCTAAATTCTCTGCAAGGGATCTGACAGCGCTGCCTCAAGTTTGCTGCTTTTATACTGTGACGCAGTGATGCAGCGACTACATCATATGTAAAATGTAAAACTCCAAAAACAATACTTTTATCAATAAACTAGGATTATCCAACCTACTTATAATACTCCAAAAGATCTATTTTATATATCTATAATTTTATAATTATTTTAAGCTTATTATTTCTAGAGTTATATATCCAGAAACTGCTCGTCTGCTAACAATCCGGATATATTCATCTCTACCATACAGTTTCCGCAATTACTGAATCTTATGCATTTCCAGTTGTCATATAACGAAATCCCGGTAAGGACTAGGATCATCAAATCTTGTCAGTTGGTGCATCTAAGGACCTCATATCATGTTGACTCAAAAGTAGGTCACAGTGACATACTTTTTAAATTTTGCAGCCATTCTTTTTCAAAATGATTTAGAGTCATATTTTGAACAATTTAAGGCCTATGATCATCAAACTTTGTCAGTTGATGTATCTTGGGTCCTCAAAGTACGTCAACTGACCTACTTTTTGAACTTTATGGCTAATCTTTTTCAAAACGATTAAGGTCATTAATTCGAATACCGAGAGGTTTAGAATCATTAAATCTGATGATGCATCTTGGGGCCATAAAACATATTTATTAAAAAGTAGGTCACAGTGACCTACTTTTTTAACTTTGCAGGCATTCGATTTCAAAGTGTTTTAGACTTAGAGGCATAATTTGGACATTTAAAGGCCTATGATCATAAAACTTCGTAAGTTGATGCATCTTAGGTCCTCAAAAAAGGTCAACTGAAAAGAAGGTCACCGTGACCTACTTTTCAATTTGTATGCCTATAATTAAATATTTCAGGTACTAATTGGCTTAGAATCATCAAACTTTGTCAGTTGATGCATTTTGGGTCTTCGGAGTAGGTCGACTGAAAAGTAGGTCACCATGACCTACTTTTGAAAATTTATGGCTTTAATTAAATATTTTGGGTACTTATTGGTTTAGAATCATCAAACTTTGTCAGTTGATGCATCTTGGGTCTTTGGAGTAGATCAACTAAAAAGTAGGTCACAGTGACCTACTTTTGACAATTTATGGCTTTAATTCAAATATTTTGGTACTAATTGGCTTAGAGTCATCAAAGTTTGTCAGTTGATGCATCTTGGGTCCTCGGAGTACAACAACTGAAAAGTAGGTCACCGTGACCTACTTTTGAAAATTTATGACTTAAATTAAATATTTTAAATTTAAATATTTTGAGTACTTATTGGCTTAGAATCATCAATGTTTGTCAGTTGATGCATCTTGGGTCCTTGGAGTACGACAACTGAAAAGTAGGTCACAGTGACCTACTTTTGAAATTCTATGGCTGTATTTAATATTTTCGGGTACTATTTGGCTTAGAATCGTCAAAATTTGTCAGTTGATATATCTTGGGTCTTTGGAGTTGGTTGACTGAAAAGTAGGTCACTGTGACCTACTTTTGAAAATTTACAGCTCTAATTAAATATTTTGGGTACTAATTGGCTGAGAATCATCAAACTTTGTCAGTTGATGCATCTTGGGTCTTCGGAGTAGTTTGACTGAAAAGTAGGTCACTTTGACCTACTTATAAAATTTTATGGTTATAATTTTAAAAAAATATTTTAGGTAAATTGGCTTAGAATCATCAAACTTAGTTGATGGGTCCTCAGAGAATGACAAGTGATAAGTAGGTACCATGACCAACTCTCACGTACTAATTGGCTAAGAATCATCTTGGGTTCTCAGAGTGTGAATTGGAGTTTCAGGGGTTTATTTAAATATACAGGATGCTTAGAGGCTTCAAATAGAAGTGATAGGTTGTACAGATTATCAGAAGAGCGATTCAAGGCCCTTGGGCCTCTTGTTTTTATACGCCTGTCTTTAGACGGGATGTATTATGTTATGGCGTTCATGTCCGTCCATCCGTCTGTTAGCTTTTTTTGTGTTCATAACTTTAATACTATTAGGCCTAGGATTATCAAACTTTGTCAGCTGATACTTCTTGGGTAGAAGGTGTGTTGCACATTTAAAGTAGCTTGCTCTGACCTTTAATTAAGAGCTATAGCTAAATATGGAAAAATCCTGTCCGGCTCATAACTAAAAAAACTATTGGACTTAGAATCATCAAACTTGGCCAATTTATACATCTTAGGTAGAAGGTATGTTGCGACCTATTTCAAGGTCACTGTGACCTTTAATTTAAGTGAAATTAAAAAAAAAAAAACTGTCTTTTTACTATTAGATTACACAATCCCAAAAAATGCAAGAGTGTTGCAGTATCCTTATTAAAAAAATGGTAAATCAAGAAAATACTTATTTTTTACATTATATACTTTACAGCAATCTATAACAAATATAATGTTATAAGAGAAAATCCTCCTCTCCCTTGGGTGTAATTATCAAGCACTGGTCAAGGAGAATTTGATAACAGAAAATTGCATGTCAAATTAGAGAGAAATTAATGAGTTTAGCTGTGAGGAGATAACTGGTAGAGCATCTCTTATCAAGCAGGTGTTATCTATATCTCTTGGGAACTGGGCAAAAAGAATCAGCTGTGTTGGATTAAATAGTTGGCAAGCCTAACTTTTAAAATGAATTTGGTGAAAAGTAATTAGAACTTATTTGATATTGTATAATAAATTAATTTGATATTGTATAATAAACTAATTTGATATTGTATAATATAATTAAAACTAATTATACTCGGGGGGGGGGGGGGGGGGGGGGGGAGTGATATTGGAATCAGCATTACCGTTGTCCATATGAATTGCAGCTTAAAACCAGTCTGACATTAAATCTAAAAAAAATCAAGTATTAAAAAAAATGTTTTAAATATGGTAGATGGTCCCTACAAATCTAAGAGTAAATGCAGGAACCTTATTAAAAATGTTGCATCAAGATTACACAAGTTTTTTATTTGTTTCTTTTTATAAATCTTTGTAACAAATTGATAAAAAATCTTTGTTTTCAAATTTAATTTCAGAATGACATAAATATGCATTTTTATTGCACCACAAAGCAGATAGTATGGATCGATCCATTCAATGGTTGGGAGTACATGTAATGAGTGAACATTAATTAATAAGTTCAGTGTAGGGAGGCTAGCTGTCTCAATCATTTCTGAGGATCTCTGATCAAGCAGTTCTTATCTGTATCCTTTGGGAATTAGACAGAAGAAGTGCTTGTCAGTTTATAGCATATGTCATTTGATGGCCAGTCTTTTATTTTTAATATTAATTGATATAGATTAAAAGTTGTTAAGACTAAATTGATGTTGTTTAATATGATATCTTTATTTAATTTTTTGAAAATGTCGACTAATTCAGAGCATCATGTCTCACAAATCTGAAAGCTGGGGGGGGGGGGGGGGTTGCAGATGGGCATTTGTCAAGCTCTAACACAACCACCTGAGGATCTGTAATGTAATATTTGTATAATTAATGCCTACACCACAGGAGATGTATTTAAACAAATATTATTAGAAATGGAAAAATCCTTGAAATCCTTGTATCAAGGTTGACATGATTTTCTTGCACTCTAAACTGTTTATGACAATTGAACAATATTTGACTGGCATATCATGCTGTGGCGGGGCACTTTATTTTCATATCCCACTGCTGTGACGTCACAATGTGTTTTGCGTGAGAGTGATAAAGTAAAAATGTATATTGTTTTGACTCAATAAAAAAACAACTACCCTGTTAAATTAACTTACAAATATTATAACAACTGTGCATTTAAAATTGATTTGTTATTTTTTTTTCCTCACAATGTTCATTTGTGTTTTTTAACTTTCCACATCACAAACTGCTCTTACGTCTATTGAGCATACCAGTTCTGAAAGGCGCTAAATTCATAATGAAGATTAACAAAATTAATAATTGTGAGGAGAGAAAATTAGAAAATGTAAATATAAGCATTTAACAAAATAATATATGTCCTTGAACTAAAATACCAAGTGTGACAAAGTTTTGATTATGTAATGATTTTTATTTCTGCATGAATTTAATTTTTAAAAAAGCACTAATGTCTGACAGTTTTATGACATTAATTAACAGGTCTTTCTAGGAGTTATGATTGGCTCCATGTCCTTGGGTCATGCCTTTCCTACACTGGAGGTCATTGCTAATGCTCGAGGGGCAGCCACCAAAGTGTTCTCTATCATTGAGCAAAAATCAAAAATAAACTATGAAGTAAACGAGGGCAAGAAATTGGATGAAATGGAGGGAACTATATCACTCAAGAATGTACATTTCCGGTACCCAGCCAGACCAGACATTCCAGTATGTGCAAGAAAGTTTTCAATTTACAAAGATGTATAAACCCTATATGTATCTGAGTTATCAATTTGCTTATATTAATTAGGGCCCCACAATAATTTGCAGGTGCCCTATAGTAATCACTCTGTATGTCTGTCCGTCTGTCTGTCATTCTTATGTCCACAAATTTTCTGTTTTTTTCTAATAACTTTTTTAATAGTTGACCAATGAAGTTCAAATTTGGTATGTTGGTTGAATAGGCAGTAAGACATATTTTGAAGCTAATTTTGGTTCTCTATTTCATCCAGTTTGAGCTGGGGTGGTGGGGTAGATTCCTTACATTTACATTAGAATGAATGCCAGGGCAAGGAGAGATAACTGCTGAGATGTTTCTATTGTAATTTAAACTATGAAAGCTACAACTTGTCCCGTGGGATTAATTAACTTTCCTCTTGAACAAAATCCAAAGCATTATCTGTTTCTGTCAAAATGAAATTAACACTTCTGCAAATTAATGAAGTTTGTTTCGAAGTTAAGGTCAATTCTGAATGATGTTTACATTCTCTGAAATGTGGATTTAAATAATGTTCATACTTTATTTTGGTAAAATATACAATGAGTTATGATTTTATTGAATTCTAAAAACAAGATATACATAATGGTATCTTTTTAAATTTTGTTTTGTTTTGTTTTTTTTAATTAATTAATTTATTTTCTTGCTGCCTTATGTAAATTCAAGAACACTATTAATTTTAACAGGTTGTTGGATAATAACCTTATTCTATCTTTACTGAAAAGTTCTTTTGTAAACTTGGAAGAAAAGGATGAGAGAGCAGTACAATTTATAAATTAGTCCCTAGGGATTAATTATCTTGCCTAGTGCAGAATATTTTAGAGGCTTATCTTTCTTTGTCACTTTAAGATAAATTAACACCTTTGTCTACAACTGATGTTTGTTTTAAAGTTAAGGTCAAGCCTGGGTGATATTTGCATTCACTGAAGACTGGCATTTTATAAAACACATGCTTTATTTTTTATTTAAATATACATTTAATTGAGCTATTATAGATTTGGTGTTTTTTACTGCCTTGTGTAAATACAGGTATACTATTTAAAGGTTGTTGGATATTTAGGAATTATCTTGAAATTTTATAAACACAGTTGTTGTTGCTTATTCTTCTTCATATATTTTTAAATTTTTGTAATCAAGTAAAATTCTCATTCTGTAAGCTGCACCCTTATATTTCTACCCCTCGGCGGGGCCCTTGATGACTGGTCAGTTTTCTAGTTGTAAACTTTACATATGTGTAACAGATATATCTACATTAGATTGCATAAGGTCTTGATAATTATGAATGTTACAGATGTCTCTAACTTATGTTTTCTTATGACATACAAAAGTATGGTTTCAATTATTGCAGTAGTTAAGATATTTGTGAAATATTACATCAAGATGAAATGTATTTATTCCCCCAGATTTTACGTGGTGTGAATTTAGAGGTCCAGCGAGGACAGACAGTGGCTCTGGTGGGGTCTTCGGGTTGTGGTAAAAGTACCATTATACAACTAGTACAGAGGTTCTACGACCCAGAGGAGGGGCAGGTATCTCTCACAAAAATGCACCATTATATAATTAGAACAGAGTTCTGCAACACAGAGAAAAGGCAGGTAACTCTCACAAAAGTACCATAATGATTATACAACTAGTACAGATGTGTTCGACCCAGAGAAAATTCAAGATATTTAGGGTAGAATACTTAAAGAAAAAGTGCTTGAGCCTTCTTAAATACTTTGACATACCCATGGTATTCAAGATATCGAAGTTTGAGATACCAAAATTGTACTGTAATTATGTCTACCTTTAAATCTTTACCTGTAGATTTCATTTAAATTGTATTTCTGCATTGTTATCCTACCGTATCTAGCTGTTGAATGTTAATCTCTTAATGAAAAAAAACCTTCTGTTTATATTCTAGGAATACAGTACATTTTGTCTGATCATCTTTCTTTAGGTATGTGTAGATGGATGTGATGTTCGGGACATGAATGTGAACTGGCTCCGTCAACAGATCGGAGTTGTTAGTCAGGAACCAGTTCTGTTTGCTACAACCATTGCTGAAAATATCCGTTATGGTCGAATGGATGTCACGCAGGGTGAAATCGAGCAGGCAGCTAAAGAGGCTAATGCTGAAACATTTATCAAAGAACTTCCTCAGGTCAGGGTCTGCTTTACTTAGGTTCTTGTCTATTTGATTTTTATGCATGAATTGAAAAATGATTTTTGGGGGAAAAATGTTCGCTGATTACTTAAATCATTGAATTTTATAAAAAATGTATTGTCAGACATAACTATTTGAGTCGAATAGATGAGTATAATGTCTAAATACTATAGAAGTTGTATATTGAATGTAAACATTATCAAGTAAATGAAAATTTCTACTACCACAATCAAGTATTTATCAAAATTTTATCTGTTTCTGTGAACGAAATTTATACCAATGTTCAGTTGTAGAGTGAAACATTTGGGAAATAAATGAAAATCTCTTTGTTTATTAAAAAATAAGGAGAGAGAGCTTAAATCTGCAATACAACATCTCATTCCTTGTTTAAAAAAAAAGTACTTCTCTGCAGTAGAAATTACTATTAAATATTGAGTACTAGCTGCTCTGATGTTGAAATTTGTCTTCCAGGGATATGAGACATTGGTTGGAGACCGAGGGGCCCAGCTCAGTGGGGGACAGAAGCAGAGGATCGCAATAGCCAGGGCCCTCGTTAGGAATCCCAAAATCTTACTGTTAGATGAAGCCACGTCAGCGCTGGATAATGAAAGCGAGGCTGTGGTACAGAAGGCCCTCGAAAAGGTTATGTTTGTTAATAACACATGAATTTATTGGATAATTTATATTTAAGGCAGGGTTGTGGATAAGCACTCGCCCACTCGCAAATGCAAGTAAAATTTGCTGTGGGTGATTAGATATTAAAAATCTAGTCGCCCACATGGCGAACGATTTTTTTCCAGAACATAATCACATTTCATTTTTATGTTTTATGTACTTTCAGTTTTTAAGAAAACGCTCTATTAACCTAGATTTTTTGTGTTGCTTACAAGCATATTATTCAAACATATACGTAACTGTGATCAAACGTGGCGATTTATCGAAGCGGTTAAATCTTCATTGATACAAGAGCAAATGTTTGAGATTGTTCAAACAGAAATATTGTAACAATCGGCTATGGTTGCCACACACTCCATCAGGACTAGTTATTCACAGATAGAATTTGAATTACCGCTTCAAATACATACAATAAAAGATCGCAATCAAACTTCATCACAGGTTGTATGTAATTTATTATTTTATGTGCCCTTGTTAAACCATAGATGCTTCAGTTTATAAGTTAAACACTACTAAATGTAATGAACATATTATCGGATCAAAGTTTTTAGAATAGAGAAAACGTGACAAATATTCATATACTGCGAACATATCAATACTATGAATAAAAAAAATCAATTAGAAAAATTTAGGATTTTTGTTGTTATTTTAAATTAATAAATAATGTGGGTCCGTGGATAACAGTGTGGGCACATAAAATTTGAAAAGTTAGGAGCCCACATGGCCCCTCAGGTTTCAAAAGTTAACCACAACCCTGTAAAGGCAGAGGAGAGTTGAACACAAGTGAAAGAAAATAAAATGTTTGATTTGAATACGGGATTGCAATTGTTATAAGTACATGTATTAGACCATTCTTAACAGATTTGAAGTATAAATATAATTTTATTAATATGCATGTTTATAATACATGAAGTTACATTGTATTATGAAATAATTAGTCACCTCATATCTAGTAAATTGTTCAAAGGATTGTTGATAGTGCATTATGAACTTAATTAAAACAGTAATACCTAATTTCTTCATGTTGTGTTGTCTTGCATCTGTTATTAATCCTGTTGTTGATGTATCCTTCAGACAGAAGATGGCAGGACAACACTAGCTAGTTGTTTATTTCTTTATGTTGCATTGTCTTGCACCTGTTAATAATGTAAATATATCCTTCAGACAGAAGTAGGCAGGACAACAATTGTTGTTGATTTCTTTATGTTTTGTTGTCTTGCTCAGAGTTGCTCCTGTTAATGATGTAAATATGTCCTTTAGGCAGAAGTAGGTAGGACAACAATGGTTGTCGATTTCTCTATGTTTTGTTGTCTTGCTCCTGGTTATAATGTAATCATTTCCTTCAGACAGAAGTAGGCAGGACAACCATAGTTGTTGATTTCTTTATGTTTTGTTGTTTTGCTCGGAGTTGCTCCTTTTAATAATGTAGTCATTTCCTTCAGACAGAAGAAGGCAAGACAACAATAGTTGTTGATTTCTGATTTATGTTTTGTTGTCTTGCTCCTGATTAATTATGATATAATCATTTTCTTCAGGCAGAAGTAGGCAGGACAACTATAGTTGTAGCTCATCGTCTGACAACAGTGAGGAACGCTGATGTTATCTTCAGTATGGCTGACGGTCAAATACAAGAGAGGGGAAATCACCAAGAATTAATGGACAGAAAGGGACTGTATTACACACTGGTCAACTTACAGGTCAGTTTAAATTCCTATACAAGTACTTTTTTTCCATATGGTATTAATTTACACTATGTACATGGCCACAATTTTTATACCCCACGCAACAAGTCAGTCTGTCAGTCCTGTTTTTTTGTCAGCGCAACTCCTCATAAACCGCAGCACAGAATTACGTCAGACTTTGCAGATATTTAGGACACGATGTGTAGATGTGCATATAAGCAGGAAATTCTGATTCCTTCATTTTTTCTGGGAATTTCGGCACTTTTCAACTTAGATTTTTGGCCAAGATGAACAGTTTGTCAGCGCAACTCCTCTTAAACCGCTGCACAGAATTTGGTCAAACTTTGCAGATATTTAGGACACAGTGTGTAGATGTGCATATTACCAGGAAATTCCAATTCCTTTATTTTTCTGGGAATTTCGGCACTTTTCAACTTAGATTTTTGGCCATATCTTGCATATAGAGATGAACAGTTTGTCAGCGCAACTCCTCTTAAACCGCTGCACAGAATTTGGTCAAACTTTGCAGATATTTAGTACACAATGTGTAGATGTGCATATTACCAGGAAATTCTAATTCCTTTATTTTCTGTGGGAATTTTGGCACTTTTCTATTTAGATATTTGGCCATATCTTGAATATAGAGATGAACAGTTTGTCAGCGCAACTCCTCTTAAACCGCTGCACAGAATTTGGTTAAATTTTGCAGATATTTAGTACACAGTGTGTAGATGTGCATATTACCAGGAAATTCTAATTCCTTTATTTTCTGTGGGAATTTTGGCACTTTTCTATTTAGATATTTGGCCATATCTTGAATATAGAGATGAACAGTTTATCAGCGCAACTCCTCTTAAACCGCTGCACAGAATTTGGTTAAATTTTGCAGATATTTAGTACACAGTGTGTAGATGTGCATATTACCAGGAAATTCCGATTCCATCATTTTTGCTTTAAGAGTTTTGCCTATTATTGAAGAAACTTTCCAGCTAGGTAATAAGGAAATCCACTGGAATCAGCTTTTGAAATGAAATTTTATGTGAAATATTTTATGACTTTAAAAGACTCCTATTGATTTTGAGATCAAAATATTATTGGTCTAACACACACACACACAAAACACACACCCGAAATCTTGGATAGTTCTCCCTCCCCCCCCCCCCCCCCCCAAATTTGTCCTTTGCTTTAAATAATTTCATAAGTACAGTTTATAAACAAATTCATATGACTACATCTTAATTTTGTTTCCATCAATTATTTAAATGTGTAAATTGTCATGTGTTTTCTTACAGTCTCAAAGTCACGAAGAGGCAGAAGAAGGTATGAGAAATGTTATCTTTAATTTTCACATTTTAATTCATAATCTTCACAAATATTTCATTGATCTCACTTCTCTCTTGTAAAATATGACAAATATTCATTCACATTGGTCATTGATTTTCCTCTTTTAAGTGAAATTTGTTGGTAATTGGGTAGGCTTACTAACTAGATTTCCTATCTTTTTATTACATGTATGTGTAAAAAGTTTGCAAAGTGTTTTAAAATAGAGAACTTTTATTTGTGTCGTAAAACTTGTCATGGCTGGAGCAAGGAAATACCTGATGCATTGTTCGAAATGGCTGCAAATATGCACCAAATGCACAGTCAACATTTTTTTTGAAAGTTCAGTTGTGTCATGAAGACTTAATTCATTCTTCCAGTGTAGTGCATTTTTTTTTATCTAGGATTTCTACCAAATGGTCTGACATTTATATAAATTTAAAGCACAATAAAAAAAAGTATAATTATGCAAGCCATATGTTTCAATCCACTAAAATCAAACATTTATAGGACTGAGATGGATTAAACCAGGCATTGCAATAATGCTGTAAAGATCATAAAATACTTTAGACAAAATACTTTAAATTTGAACCTCCTTTGTTAGACTTTTTCTAAACTTCATTTTGAATTTCTGATTAGTTGCAATTTCATTGGGGAAAAGTTCACCTAAAGCTAGTTTGTTTCACAATCTGGCCTGGGTGAACACAGAACGAGGTAAGTGTTCATACATTATGTTTCTTGTTGTAGCTTGTGATGGCATGATGGCTGGGTATGATATAGTTTAAATAAAATCTTCAAGAAAGCTTGTTAGTGTGGAAAATTGTTAGAGATGTCTGTGTAATTAGAAAATTAGTACATGTACCAATAAAATATTCTTGATAATTGTTTTAACTCAAATTGTCGATTGAAATAAATTCAAGAAATTGCACAATAAAGTTTTTTGATAGAATTTTTTAAAAAAAATATTTACCTTAGATATCACAACATCTTATGCATTCAACATGCAATTCCTTGAAAAGTTAAACTAAAAAATATGCGTTAGTTAGATCGGTCTTTGGAGAAGTTGAAAAATCAATTGTATTGAAGCAGAGGACTTAAATCTCTAGAATTGATTTACTTCTGACAATTTTCCATATTAAATGTATTGTATATAGAGAACCTCCTGTTGTGCTTTATGTTGACGATCCCCTGCTATATGTGTTGTAGCAATATGAATCTGCATGTCAAGTTAAATTTACTGTGCCGAAAGTTGGCATGAACAATAGTTCTCTCATTGTACTTTGAAGATGATGTGGTATATGTTGGTCTAGCATGTGGAAATGGTTATTAAGGGCAAAAATGTTGATTGATGAGGCAAAGTAATTAAGCAGGGATATGTTGCATGAAAATTGGAATATTTTGCATCCATCCACTTATACAATTAAAGTACACACAATCGGTATATTGAATGATGTTTCTTGCATTGTAGGTAGAATTTTGCATTTGATAACTTTAAAGAATTTTTACTTCAGCAATATATCTTTAGTTTTCTTAAAGTGAATGATTATAGAAGATTCACTTGTGCAGTCATATATTCTACATGATGTTTGCATTTGCATGTTGTAGAAATAATTAAATCTTGACACAGCTGTCCCTGTCACAGCAAACATCTGCAGCACTTCAATAAAGAATCTAGTACAAGAAATTACCTGGAGTAATAGAGGCACTTCATTTTAGAAGCCAGTGCACTTAGATTACTAGCAATTGACAATTAAGCATGAGATTTAAGTTTGTGATAGAGAAATCAGCACAAGTATTTTGATCCTAATAAATAAAGGTTAATTGAATTTGAAAAGTTTTTTTTTTGAAGATTATTTCTAGGCAACCAGCAATCTTGTAAAGTTTGATTGTGAAAGTATTTGAAAAAAATATTGATCAGACTTATTTTTGCTTTCTAAAGATGGTAAGTTACAAAGGGAATTCAAAGTGTAATTGATCTTGAACATATTCAACATGTACATGTAAGTTGGATTAATATGACCATGAATGGTAAACCAAAGACCTTATTTTAAAACTTTCGATAATTCTTATTTTTTCCATGGAGTCTCTTCATCATATTGACCAAACTTGCCCTTAATCATCTTTGGGTGAATCGGATTCAAAAGAAAATATTCTCCCACAATGTTACCCAGAAGGGGCAATTCAAAATCTTTCAGATATAGGAAAAAGTTGTAGGACCACAATGAATCAAGATTTTTTCATGTCTATAAGTTTATCCTAAATCGAAAATGTCATAATGATTTTCGTCTTTTTATATTGAACAGTGGTTGAGGAACTGGAGCATGAAATGTTTGATGAAGGGGAACCAGACGAACATGCTGCTTTGATGCAGAAGGTCAAAGGTCAGAATGGTCTGCCATATGATAGACAGATGTCATCAGTTAGCGGTCACAGTGCCATCAGTCATCATGACGTCACGGACGGAAAAGCTGAAGGGGAGGAGGCAAGTTATTTTTAGCTCACCTGAGGCACTTTTTCTGATAGATATTTGTCAGTTTTTTTTATAGTTGTGTATTATCATTTGCTGTTTAAAATTTCACATTTAAGTCTTCTTTTCTGGAATTAACTTGTAAAGAACCCTGCACAGAGCAAATTCCATGCAGCTTTCACTGGTTATCGAACAGTTCTAAAGTAGTAGTAGGGTTTTAAAAAGACAAAAATCCCAGATTTCAACAAGTATGATTGAAATGTTCAAATGTTTGAAACTTTAGAATCTATATACATTGTTGATAACTACATTAATAAACACATTAATTTTGCATTTATATATATGTGATGTTATTTTTTTACTCACTGACAGGAGGAAGCAGAAAATGATATACCTCTTGTTCCGATAGGAAAAATCATGAAGATGAACTCGCCTGAGTGGTTATACATTACATTAGGCAGTATAAGTTCTGTGATAGTGGGGGCTATTCAGCCAGCATTTGCATTTCTGATGGCAGAATTCCTGAAAGTAAGACATGCTGTAGAATGGTTTTAATTTGTGTTGGTCAATGTTTTGAGGTAGTGAAAATATATGTACAGTAAAACACGCTTATAATGAAGTGCCAGGGATGAACAATTTTGCTTTGTTATATGTGTAATTTGTTATATCCGTTAAGTGTTTAATATATTTTAAAGTCAAGGTGAATGAAAATCACTTCGCTATAAATGTCAATTCATTATAAGTGTGTTCGCTATAAGCATGTTTTACTGTATCATGTTTTTAGTGATCATTATAGAAAAGAAAGAAATTCAATACAGAATTTGTTTTATGTGTTTATATTCAGTCATTCACTATTCATTGAGTGTTTGTAATTTTTCAGGTTTTTTCAATGACTGTAGATGAACAGAATGAAATCATTGGCGTATTAGTTGGCGTCGTCATGGGTGTAGCTGTCTTTACTGCATTACTCAGACTTACTTTGGTAATAAATAAATAATACTTAATTCAAGTATTTTTTATAAAAATGATTTCCTTTTGAATAAAGAAAAACGGAAGAGTTTTAATTATATAGTGATAACAGGAACAAAGGGGAGTCATAGAACAGAATAATAACTGGTTAGAAATGAAATAAAGGAGGCTATGAACCAGGGATTAGGAAAGAATTGAGGGTCTGATTAAGGAAGGATATAAAAAGAGGGTACAAGGATAGAAGTTTGAAAGGATAATATGGCAAGGAACATAGATTGGAGGAAAGTTGCAAGGAGTAGGGTCATGTGGGCAGGCAGGGATAGACTGGGAGGGACCATCATGGGGAAGAGGGCATATTACGTGGGACAAAAATGTTGGAAAGGATAATGGATCAGGTAATTGGGAAGGATAGAAAATAGCCAAGTGACAGAAGACAAGTGACACCTGATCTCGCCTGTGGTGTTTCCAGGGGGTCATTTGTTCCTGATTTATTTTGTGTACTGGATGTATGAGATTGATCACTGTGATCTTCACCTTTTACAATCCTAAATATAGAGAAAGGAATGAAGGAGGAGGGGATGGGAAGGGGTAGAGTGGGTTTAATTAAGTGTTATGTGATGGGGAAATATGAGAAATCTAATTACATGTACTTGTAGTAAAGTTTGATAATGTGGCATATAGAATTATTGGGAAGGGTAGAAGGGATATAGGTGCTAGTAGATGTAGGTAAGCCTGACTGTATATCCACAAGTAAGTAGATATTTTCTTTATGGAAAACTTATTTCTAGCAACTATGTCCACCATAAGAGCTCTTCTGTATTTTCATGAATGTAATTTAAGTTTTTTTCAAAACAGGTTCAATCTATGATTAATAAATGAAATAGATTCTAATTGTAAGCTTATATTTCTTTCTCTCTTTTGCAGTCCATTTGCTTTGTGAAAGCTGGTTCTGATTTAACATTGAGGATGAGAAAATTGGCATTCAAATCCATAGTGTGGCAGGTATGAAAAACTGTTACTACTTCTACATGTATATATTAAATACGACTGTCTATAGAAACAAAGACAAATTTTTGTTCAAACCTGGGGCGAATGCCATCAGTATAATTCAGTTTTAGTCTCTGGCAAAATGACTCGCTGAAAAATTGGAACCCATTGTAAAAAAAAAAAAAAAATTATGAGATAAGTTGAATTTTATGAAGCAACGGGTTGTGTTTGTTATTTAATTATTATTGTTGTTGAGACCCATAGGTTTTCATTTGCTCCCACTGCTACAAGTCTGGTTTGTAGAATTGGGACCAGATCAAAACCAATGAAGCTAACATAAATCATTGGGTAAAATCTGTGAAACTCAATAAAGTAAATAAACTACATGTTCTTGAATAATTTTATATGTACAAGGAGTATGTCTGCAGAACTTAAGAAAATTTTATTTTCTTTTGAAGGATATAGGCTTCTTTGATAGCCATGAGAATCGTGTTGGTGCCCTGACCACAAGACTAGCTAGTGATGCTGCTCTTGTTCAAGGGGTAGGTCATTTTTCTATATGAAATGAAAACTTAGATATAACCAAGAATTAACCCCAAGAGTAAACTCCAAGGTTTTTCATCATATTGAATATTTCTTTATAGACAGTCAACCTCATAATCTCAAACTCAATAGGACCAAGAAAAAACATTGAGATCATAACAGAAGGTTCTAGATGTTGAAGTTAAAATTCAATATGAAAATAGTAGTTGGGACTTCCAATTCACTTTGACATATTCATGGTAATCAAGATTTAAGAGTTTGAGATCTGAAGTTCATTCTACTGTATTATTGAAATGATTGTACCTTATAGAATATGAAATTGCATTTTTAAATCCTGATTTTTCTAATTGTTCTTTGGTAGTTAAATTCTTCAATGAATAGTCAAGTCTCTAGACATAAGAGCTTGGCTCACCTTACTCAGTCATAAGGCCATTATTACTTTACAGAATTGCTTTGCCTGCAAGTCAATTTCCCAACTATTTGTCAGTGAATGAAATGATGTTGTTTTTTTTTTTTTTTTGATTGTAGGCCACAGGAACAAAAATAGGCCAGGTATTGGAATCTATTGCTGTCATCACCACTGCCCTTATAGTGGCCTTTATATACAGCTGGAACCTTACCCTGGTCATACTAGCCTTCATGCCCCTGATGATGGGGGTAGGGGTCATGCAGTCTAAACTTGTGGCTGGTTTTGCCAAGGGGGATAAAAAAGCTATGGAAGAAGCTGGAAAGGTGAGAAAGATTGACCTAATTTAAATATTGTGGATGGGCAAATTTTCTTAACACTGGATATTTTTTTGGTATTAATGTTGAAGATAAAATAGCTCACAAATTTTGGTTATTGTAACAGTTTTTACATTATCTTTAATTATACAAATGTCCACAGATACAATATTTTCTTGAGCAGACAGTCAGACTGTCTTGCATAATTACAGAAAAATAAAGGTCAACTGCAAGTGAATAAAAGATGATTTAAAGTATTTTCCTAAATTCATGTAAAACAATTTGTCCTGAAGCATTTATAATAACTTCTGTGACTAACAGTACGCCATTATTCGTAAGTCTTTATAATTGAACAGGTGTGTACAGAAGCCATAGACAATGTGAGAACTGTCGTATCACTCACAAGGGAGAAAACTTTTGTTGACGAGTACTCTGCTCATGTTGACAGCATTTATAAGTAAGTTAAGGAAAAAATAAAATAAAATTGTAGTTTGTTTTACATAAGCTGTTTACATTATTTATTGGAATTATGCTGTACATGTATCAGTAAAACTCTGAACTTTGTACTTGAAGGAAATTAAAAAAATTCAAGTATTTAATTCAAAGAAACTTTTTTTGTTTCTCTCTCTTTGAATATTTGGCATATATGTATGCTTTGTTATCAATAGATCAGGTATAAAGCGAGCTGCTTTGTTTGGTCTTGTGTTTGCCACTTCCCAGAGTATTATCTACTTCTCCTATGCAGCATCGTTTGCCTATGGTGCCTATTTAGTGACTCAGGGACTAGCATTCCAGGATGTGTTCAGGTAAAGACCTCCTTCTGTTCTCACCTTGAAGTGCTATACTCCACAGGAAGAGACGAGGAACTTGTTTTGATTGCAGTGTAGTGTTTCTTTGTTTTATTGTATCTGGAATTTTTGTCTCTGTTTAGGGTATTTGGTGCTATCATATTCGGTGGGATGCATGTTGGAAGAACCGGTTCCAGTGCACCAGATTTTACAAAGGGAAGGCGAGCAGCAACCAGATTGTTTTCTATCATTGAAAGGGAACCAGTCATTGATGCCAAAAAAGAAGAAGGGGAAAAACCAGTAAGGGATTTCTTGAGAAAACAACAAAAAGTACTTGGATATTAAATGCTAATTTAAAAATGATTTTTATTTGTTTCCTCTCATCATTTGTAAAGTCCAGAAATGATGACTGATTAGTTTACCTCAGGTAAATTATAAGTATGAGGTGGAGCTTAATTGAACCTGGAGTGAAGCTTTAAGAAAAGTTGTACTTTCCATTTTTTTAACTGAATGAAAACAAAATTTCAATGATGTACAATGTATGTACACATCACAGTTCCTCAGTTCAGTCATGCAAATCATTTTACATGGCATTTATTTAATCATAACCCATTGTCTGCTAATTTTAAATTTTACATTTTCAAATTGAAATTATCTTTGATGTCTTCATTTTCAAAGATGTAACATTTTTTTAAAGGAATCCTTCACTGGAGCAATCGAGCTGAACGATGTCCACTTTACCTATCCCTCTCGGCCTGATGTGAAAGTTTTAGAGGGCTTAAGTCTGTCTGTGAAACCGGGCGAAACCTTTGCTCTTGTTGGCACAAGTGGTTGTGGTAAAAGCACCACTGTTCAACTGGTAGAACGGTTTTATGATCCAAGCAGTGGCTCAGTGGTGAGTGGTGGGCCAAAAAAATGCTGCTTTGCAAAAAATTTTTTTTTTCTGTGAAACCTACTAGAGAGGTTGAGATTTCATACGTGTACCTGTACGGGTACGTCTAGTAGGGGAATTCCATAAATGTCTTGCATATTACGTCATCAGTTTTTTTGTTAAGTTTTCTACACGTTCCTACAAATTGTAAAAAAGCATCTACCACTAGGTGTAAACGTGTAGCTTTTTCAATAAAAACTTGTCAGTTTGTGTGTGAAACTGTTATTGTTAATTATTTAGGATGTTAAGTTTCATGAACACTTATTTTAACCATGTTTTGTTCATTAACTAAAGTCAAACTAATGTCACAAAACTACAAAATAGTTGAAACAGAGACAACAATTACAGTCTACACGTTCATGTTACACGTCATTTAATCTCAACAGACAAATTTCAAACAATGTGTACGTGAACGTCAAAGTTTGTACACACGTACACGTACAAGTTTAAAATCTCAACCTCTCTACTTTAAGGGGGATTGCTTGTAGAAAAAGTAAAAAAAAAAACACTAGCATCTGGAAATAATTAGGTTAACGAATTATTTAGTATTCCACTTCATACATGCAAGCTAAAATTATCTTGTTGAGATTTAGTTCACTGTAAAAGCAGAAGCAATTTTACAAACAAAAGAACCATAAGATTCCAGGTACCCTTAAATTTAATGTTTGAAGTTGATTTTCAGATGGTGGACAATTTTGACCTAAAATCACTGAATCTTAACTGGTTAAGGTCACAAATAGGAATTGTTTCACAAGAACCCATGTTGTTCGACACCAGTATTGCAGAGAACATAGCATATGGGGATAACTCCAGAGAGGTTCCTATGGATGAAATCATCAGCTCTGCCAGAAATGCGAACATCCATGGCTTTATTAAAAGCTTACCTCATGTGAGTTTGGTTTTAATTTTGAGAATCATAAAACTATATGTACACAGCGTTTCTGTCAATGCAAATATCTGCATAATATACGCATAAAAATTACTTATTACCCCTAAAACATCGACAAAAGGGTAGTTATCATCATGACACTGAAGAAATACAAAATCAAATTTTTAAAATGTTCTCTAATGGAGCCAGTTTAAATAATCTGCATTTGAAGTTTCTAGGAATAAGTCGTCGGTTTAATTTCCAAGAGGCATTGATTGCAAAAAGCATATCAATGTCAACAATCTATTAAAATTTTCGAACAAGCTAACTTATTCTTAACAAAATGAGAATTCAGAATTAAAAAAAGTTTATCTGACATTGGCTTATCTATTTCAATTTGGCTTGGTCAAAAAGGCTGAAGATTGTAATAAAAAGGTCAGCGAAGTTCAGATAAATTAATGAACCGTTTTACAAAATGTTCAAACAACTTTCAGATGTTGCCTTTTGAGTGACATTAATCTGAGATTCTTCTGACTCTAACCCCTGCTTTTATATTTTGAAATGTGCACATGTCACAATACAAAAGCAGGGGTTAGAGTCGGAGGAATCTCAGATTAGAATGACGTGTGTACTCCAAGAAACCCAAATCCATAGAATGTGTAAATAAAACAAAAGTTTACTTCAATAGAGACAAAATGACCCTTGGTTTTCAAAATTTGAAACACTGGTACATTGTACATGACAGCATGGGACTACTCTGGCTTTTGTTCGTCTTTGTAAAAATTGATGTTTCTGTTTTTGTTTTCATACATGTGTATAATTGCTTAAATGCAAAAATTATCAAATGTGTACAATAAAACTTGTTTCGTAGGAACATGGATATATAGCAAAGGTCTATGTATGGTAAACACTTTTTTTGCCCCCATAAGATCCAATTTTTGAAAAAAAAAGAACAAATATATTTAAGATCTTAGAATTTGAAATATTTTCTAAAGCACCTTTTTTTTCTTAATGAAGATGTAACTTAAACAGAAAACTTTATTTCTTTAAGATATCACATGTATTTAATACTTCCCTGAACAAAGTCTGAAGTCACAAGAAAAGTTTGAAGAAAAATGTGTATCCATCTGAATTGTAAATTTGCTACATATACTTAAATGAATTCGCTATACATATAAAAACAAGTTACTGGTATACTGTAGCTACTAAATTTTAGCGACACCTTATTTTCGCGATGTAGACATTTACTCTTTATTAGTGAGACAAAATTTTCACAAATTGTGGTTACTGCTGTATATAATAATATACACGAGAATGATATTTTCGTGAAGCACATTGATTCGCGTAATTGTGCGAAAATAGAGTTTTTGCAAAGAAAAAGTGATTAAGAGTAGCAAAGGTTTTACTGTATAATTAATTAATTTTAATTTTTTATATTGTCATTTGTATTGTAGGGTTATGAAACAAATGTTGGAGATAAGGGCACACAACTCTCAGGGGGTCAGAAACAGCGAATTGCTATTGCACGAGCACTTATCAGAAATCCAAAAATTTTACTCCTGGATGAAGCCACATCAGCATTAGATACTGAGAGTGAAAGGGTAACAATCTAAGCATATTAATTTTTTTTATTTTTTATATTTTTCTCTTGATTTAATATCAGGTAACTGGATGAACAATTTTGAGATATATGTAACATGTACAAGGTATAAACAAAGAGAATGTATGTGACAATCCGGGCATTAAATATATGTCATACAACCTCAGATATGTACATCTTAATAACAGTGTAAATGTTCACATATTTATTCAGAGAATACAGAGGTTTATAAATTTCCCAGTTGATGTGTTGTACCAAGCTGATCTCTGATAATTTGACTTCATCAAACAACTGTTTCATCCCGAGAACCTATAATTTTGTGAAAAAGTGTACCGTATTCAAAACAAGAACACCGTCTTCTTTCAGATTGTTCAAGAGGCCTTAGATAAAGCTAGAGAGGGCCGAACATGTGTTGTGATCGCACATAGACTGTCTACGATTCAGAATGCTGATAAGATCGCCATTATACATAAAGGACATGTTGTAGAACTAGGGAGCCACTCAGAATTATTAACAAAGAAAGGTGTCTACTGGAAACTCTGCCAGCATAATGTGAAGAAAAGCTGAATCAATCATTGTACTTAATTGTTGACAGAATGTTTTGATGAGTTAAATGACTGTGTATAATGATAATGCCACCCTATACTGAGTTATTATGGAAGATGTAGGAATTTTTGTGATAAATATAAGAACCATAATATATACCAATATTTAAATGACCAACATTTTTTTTCAATCAAAACTCTATTTCATTATCATTCTGATATGTTTGCAAATTAAGATTTGAGTTTCATTGATCTTGTTATGTACAATGTATGTCATTTTGAACAAAACCTATTTGTTTTATTCCGTCTGTTGTGCTGGACACATGAACCTATTGTCATTTTCGTTTTGTATGTTTGTTTTGTCTTTTTATATAATTTAATCAAATTTTTTTTTACCAGATCATTTAGTTGACATTGAAAGCACTTTAATCTGTTCTCTCTTTTCTGCTAAATTGCCATTAAACCTAAAAAAAAAAAATAAATAAAATCCCTTAATTTTTTTCTTTAGAATTGCACAGAATTGCAAAATTTAAAAACAAATCTAAAACCTCAATGTAAAAACTAAATGGAAAAAAAATTCAAAGTGTATGAATTTCCAGTATAAGGTGTTTTCTCTTTAAACATTAATTTTAAAATTTTAAAATGAAAATTTTGATGTTGATTGAGATACATGTATGAGTGAGTACATCTATTTATGTCGGATGCCTTTTGCAGAGTGAAAGCTGGCTTTAAGACTTGGCCTCTTAATGTTTAACAGAATGAATCCTATATGTAGTTTGTTATGTGATAAGACTTTTTTGTTAAAATCTTTTTATTACATGTATATGCTTCTTTTTTTTTTTCCACACAGGTTTGGTACTGTTTCCATGTCCAGTATTGATTACTATACAGAATGTATTTTGAATAATTTATGTAAATTGTATACCCGGTATTTTTTTTAAAATGTCTTAAACTGTTTAGTACATGTACACAGAATTCCTGCAAGTCTTTTTAGCATGCAGTTTTCCCTTTCAGCAGGTACATTCAATATCTGAGAGTTAAAAAGTTTTAAAGTTAATCACATGTTAGAAGCACTGTATGATTTTTTTAAAAATTTGTTTATTTAATACATTTATTTTATTTTGTTTTTAAATGTATAGGAACGTATTTCCTCAATTGATTAGTTATTCAAAGTTTATCTAATTGATGGCTTTGATTGCCAGGGATACACTGTAAATGTATTATATTTAGCATGTACAATTATTTGGCGGAAATTGATTTTTGAACAAGTTAGCATAGATCTGATTTAGTGCATTTCTAAATGTATATATGTGCAAGACATTAAGCGATGTACTTGAAATAGCGGAAGATTCTTTCCACCGAAAGCACCAAAAAGAATACGCAGCCAAATGTAATATGTTTACAGTATAAGTTTTAAAAAGCTTAGTTATAATTATCTCCTCTAATGGCAGGAAACATCATAACCAAGCTGTGAAATTGTCTGTGTACTGATAAAATTATTTTTTTTTTGAAACAGAAGCAAACTGCTCCATGTTTGAGTGACAAATTTGTTTAGAATATACAGTAAAACATGCTTTTAGGAAAGTGCCAGGGATGAGCAATTTTGCCTCATTATAAACATAATTTGTAATATTCGTTTAGTTTACAATCTGATTTAGACCCACAGGGAATGAGAGTCACTTCGCTATAAGCATGAATTCATTATAAGCTTGTTAGCAATAAGCGTGTTTTACTGTATCGTATGTTTGTAATTGTAAATTAAGTTCATATGCAGTTAATTTGTGTTTTATATACATGCATACCAGTATTTAAAGGATAAGATGAATATAGAAATTATAATGACATATTACAGAGATTAAAAGTTACTTTTAAATATATATATATACTGCATGCAAGGATGTGTAGAGGTCTGAAGAAAAACCATCTAAGTAACCGTGTAATTGATTGATAAATGAGTAACTGGTTGCTAAAAATTTGTAATTGATTGGTTACTATAAAAATCATTTGATTTGTCAAGACTTAAAACAACCCACACAACTTGAAGAATGACAATAGTTTCTGGATGGAATTTGCTACTCGGTGTTTCATACAGTATATTGAATGTATACTTATTGAAAATGCGTAATATATTAAACAATCATGTAAATGTTTTGTTTTTTCTTCAAATTTTGATGTCTTTGTAATGGCAAGTATGTGAAGTAAACATTATTTTTTCTGTGTTTTCCTTATTATTGAGATACATAGATTCATTATAGTTTTCAACTTTTCTCTGACGGTCCTCAAGATATTTTTTTTCCTTTATTGTTGATATTTAAAGTCATGCTTTTTATTTTATAATTTACATTTTCAACTGAGATGTATTCAGTCTGTTCTCTGTGCTGTTGTTTATTGACAAAGGCATCTTTAATGGTTGTTACTATTTATTCTATTATACAAGTAATGGTAAAATAAAACTGTTACATGGCTGTATTGTTATTTAAAAATTCTATCACACAGTGTGACTACACCACGTTTGTCCAACATTTAGTTATAGAATTCCTGCCCTGTTTGCGGTACTAATATATATTGTCTCCCTTATAAGATTTTCTTTATTTAAATTTGCTATAAACTGCTAAAAACCATGTAAACTTCAGGCTTTTTGCTGCAATTTGATACTTTAAAATTATTAATTTACATAATTTTTAGTAACCTTTACTTTTCTTGTGGCGCAGGGGTGAAAAACTGACGATGAGCTGGATTGTATTATATATATATATATATATATATATATATATATATATATATATATATATATATATATATATATATAGGATCTCCCATGATTTGTAGTTGGATATGATTTTTATCCAAAGAGTTGTGTGTTTTTTATCCCCGAGCCTCGGCGAGGGGATAAAAACACACAACGAGTTGGATAAAAGTCGTATCCAACTACAAATCATGGGAGATTCTTTTTATCCCATGTTTAATACTTCACAAACAATGTTTTACACTGTTTTATATAGGACTCCACTTTATTCATCGCGCTAACGCAAAAACCATTGTGACGTCACAACTGTGAATTATGAAAAAATTATCCAATGAGTCATATCCACGGGATAAAGGGGTAAACATGGGATAAATATATATATATATATATATATATATATATATATATATATATATATATATATATATATATATATATGGGGACATTATATATACTGAAAGGAAAAAGAAACACAGGGTAACATATTACGCGAAAAGTTTTTGACTGCATGGCCGAAATTTACGAAATCTAGTCAAAGGGGTATCTTGATAACTGTGCACTCAAGTCGGTGTCCAGAATTACTCAACCAAGAAATGTATGACGTCACTTAGGGAAAATGGTAAAAAGCCAAAAACGCGTGCATATTGATGATGACAGGTTTGTCAACACACGGTAACATGATATGCGAAAAGTTTTTTTTTTTGATATTTAAGGACAAAAGGATTTTTTTGTAATCATGATGTGGCTGATGGAAGTTCCATGGGGTCTGGTATTGCATTGCCTAAGTAAAGAAAAAGGAAAGAACAGGTTGCTATGCAGTTTGTTGTGAATTTTTTCACTATAGAACATCTTATCCGTCGTCAGAGAGGGACTGGAAACATTTCCAATCAACCATGACGATGACGTTGGCGCGTAACAACGCCACGTCAAGATTGGGCTTTTCATCCTGCCATCTGTGTAATCGCCACTTACGACCACTGAAACCATTACTGATACAGTAGGCAATCATAATCATTGTATACATTTACCCAAAAACTAAAGAAACCCTTTGCGCGATTTTGGTTTGTGAGCTCTTCAACTCCTCTCACTCGAGAATAGGGTGGGGTAATTAAAAAATCTTCTTGTCAAGAACCACTGTGCCAAAAAAGCTGAAACTTATGTGAAACCAGAAAAGCTGAAACTTATGTGGAAGCATCCTGGGGGTAGTGCAAATTCTAAATTGTTCAAATCAGGGCCCCCGGGGGTAGGGCGGGGCCACAATAGTGAATCCCAAGTTTTACATTGAAATATATAAGAAAAATCTTTAAAAATCTTCTTCTCAAGAACCATTGGACAAGAAAAGCTGAAACTTATGTGGAAGCATCCTGGGGGTAGTGCAGTTTCTAAATTGTTCAAATCAGGGCCCCCGGGGGTAGGGCGGGGCCACAATAGTGAATCCCAAGTTTTACATTGAAATATATAAGAAAAATCTTTAAAAATCTTCTTCTCAAGAACCATTGGACAAGAAAAGCTGAAACTTATGTGGAAGCATCCTGGGGGTAGTGCAGTTTCTATATTGTTCAAATCAGGACCCCCGGGGGGTAGGGCGGGACCACAATAGGGAATCCCAAGTTTTACATTGAAATATATAGGAAAAATCTTTAAAAATCTTCTTTTCAAGAACCACTTGGCCAAAAAAGCTGAAACTTATGTGGAAGCATCCTCAAGCAGTGTAAATTCTAAATTGTTCAAATCATGACCCCCAGGGGTAGGGCGGGGCCACAATAGGTATTTAACAAGGGGGAAATCTGGTAAAGAACAGCATGGCCAAAGTGTAACTCAGGTGAGCGATGTGACCCATGGGCCTTTTGTTTACCTTTTAACCCACGGCCCAATGTAGCCAGAGTTTGGCAAGACTTTCTCGCAAACATTTACATTAACCTATTCGACTGGTGTCCGTACAATCCATCTTTTTTCTCCTGTCGAACTCGCTACTCTCGACCAACTAAGCGCTGCCTTGTCGAAAAGTTGAATAATATATATCCCTATGAAAAAGATTAATGCACTTATGAACTCCATGCAGAGGAGAATCAAGGTTGTGACAGATGCGCGAGGTAGGCATAGGAGATAATGAGAATTTTCGATTTTCACTTTTGGGGGGTCTCGTCATTTGAGTTTCAATAAATCATGAATTTGAGTTTCAATAACTCATGAATTATCGGTCAAAATCGAATAAGATTTTGCTTACTTGTTGATAAAAGATGAGGTTAAATGTTAGATTACAATACTGGAAAGCACGTTCGAAGAGATAACATTAAATCACTTCAAAAGTTTACCCTGCGTTTCTTTTTCCTTTCAATATATATATACCTCATTGCCCTGTACGTCGGAGACCCAAAAAAACTTTAACCTCGGTCATAAATTTTTTTTTAAGTTTTTACTTTCAGAAAACGTTAAAATTTATCCTAAATTTGCACTAGAAAATATTCAAAAATATAGAACTCTTTTTATTAGGATTGAGAGTAAAGTCAGGACATACTAGATGGTTACAATATGACATGTGACATACCTGTACATGTGAATTAGCGCATCTCAACCAATATGACCCCCGAAAATGGGTGACCACAATTCTCTGAATTTGCTTGTTTTCTCCTGTGAAAAATTCCATATTGTGGACCAACCGTAGCTCAAAGGGGCCCTGG